CGGGTTGTCCACCGTGAAATGTAACCTTCTGTTACAATACGTTTCTGTTTCAGTTTCGGTGTACTCCTATTTTTAAAAAAAACATGTATGAAACATATCAAAAGCTTGTTTGGTTCTTCCTCTTCTTGGTCTATTCTAATTTCACAATTGTTTTTTTTTATAAAAACCATAGCTGAAAAATGTATAATATATCAGACATGACTAAGCCACTTTAATTCTTCGAAGTTTTTCTGAACACACTTTCTATACGAAGAATAATTTTATCCGTCATGTAAATAAGAGTGTTGTCTCGTGTATTTTAATCAAAAGCATTTCCCGCAGTCGTTAATTCTGGTTGGGAGAAAATAATTTATTCTATCCAGACTTGACAGGTAATCGTTTACACGAGAATGGTAAGTTTCATTGTCGTTCCAATCACAATCTAAAATCCGTTAGGGCCTTCCATTTTTATAAAGATAGATTTAAAACAAATTAATAATGTTATTTGACCTTTTGTGGTTGCGATATCTTAAATTACTAATAGCATAGAGTAGCTAATAGCTACTGTAAAATAAAATACATTTACTACGTTAAAGAAACACCGGTTCTACGTTAAATTGTTTATTGATTAGTACAAAATGCTAAACTGTCAAACTTGAACAACGCTTACTAAAATTGTTACAAAATACCGCATTCCCTTATAATGTTTTTTTTTGCGCGATCGGTCATTTTTGACTATTTACCATGTGTGTTTCCATGACAGTAAGTGGAATTTACCAGTTGCTATGATTACAACGACGCCAAAATTACTTACCGATCTAAAAACAGAACAGCAAAAATACTTACCGACGCCTTTTTAGAAACAATCAGTTCAATGTTAACAGTCTTACCGTTGAGTGAAAGAATCGATTCTTTCACTCAACGGTCTTACATTACATTTAATCTTTAATTATTGTTACATTAAACCATAGTGTATTCTATTCTTTACACTAAGATTAAACGTACAATTTGTGCTGATGTTTCCTATAGAAAGAACACGTTCTTCATTTAAACCTGAAGCAATAGAGATCAATGTGTTTGAAGATGTGCTTTCGTTTTTCTTAATACATTCCAACTACAATTTTGTTCTGTAAAATCTTCGACATACCATTCGGCCACCGGCGAATACCTCGCTCATAAAGTCATAACGGAAGTGCAAAGCTAGCAAACTACATCAGACCCATGCACAAGAAATTATTAATTTCAGTTTTGACAAATAAACTGGTTACCTAGTGATGTACACCATACCACTTCGATCATTTCGATTTATTTTGCTAGTTAATTTGTTAGTGCATATTTATATTGATGCATTATTTTAATTTCGATCGCGCAAAAAATGTTATAAGCACGTCGAACGTTAAGGGTTACCGTTCTCAGACAATAATTGGAGTCGTCGCTCCGCTCCTCCTCCAAACAATAAAATTGTCTTCGAACGGTAAAAATCCCTTACCGTTCTCCATACTGTACTATAACAGCTACAAAAGTCGAACGCTATTTTAAAATAGATAAACTTAATTGACAATTATAGCGCTTGTATAATCATCCTCGTGAGTTATATAGCTTTGTCATTCTAACACAACGGCATTTCAATTAGAACGTGGGTTGTATCTAATTTTTCCAACTTCAGAGCGGCAAAGAAGATATAAAACCATAGGGTCGAGCGTTAATCCGTTTTTGAAACTTATCCATTACCGACGAGCGTTTTTATTACCTAACAAGGAACACGTCTATGCTCTATGCAATTGCATTACTACCGCGATGGGAGCTTTTTGTCTGCATAAGTGTTGCGGTTGGATCAATCAACACTTTCCTTTCAATTTTAAAATACCACTGACAGACTAATGGTTACTATTTTAGTCGTTATAATTATGTAACAGCGTAACGATAATTGGAAACTTCACAATACAAAAGCAAAAGGAAAATGCTGAAGTTACATTAAAAAACTTCTCCTTGCATCGCCTTGTTCTCTTATCGACCATTATGAAATCGAGAAAATAAATGTATTTCGACGCATCAAAGAATATATCGCTCATACTCCATAGTTTATCGCTTGATGTGGCTCACTCCTTCAAGTTTTAGGATTCTTCCAAAGGAAAAGTACCTATTGTGAACACTTTGTCCTTCGATTCGTACGTCCGTATATCAAACCCCTTTCTATTGGAGAATGCTATTACTCTGAAATGTTTGCAAATTTTGCCTTGCAATTATGGTTTAAAATGCTATAAAATAAAAATACAACGTTGCCAAGAATAAATGTGATTAAAGCATTGAATTTGATAGTTATAAATTCAATGATTAAAGATATAAAAAAAGTAACACGGCACGATAAAAAGAGCCAACCAGTGCGGGCATGCAGGAATTCAACTTTTGAAATAATATATGTATTGTAAGATTGTTTTTGGTCTATTAGAAGAATATCTGCGGCGGGATAACTCTGCTTTGAAAAGTCACACCAGGAGAAATTCGCCGAATATTTTCTCAGTCAAATTGGACAGGATAGCTTCGAGCCCTCTAACTCACTTCCAGAATATTCACCCCAAGAAACCTTGCCCCGATGAATTCGCATTCCTGAGAAATCCCCCCCTTATCATTACCACGTCGCAATCCCAATGTTTGTCAGGTTAGGTAATACTCGTTAACATTCAGTGTTTACCAATATTACTGTTTTGTACTATTTGGATATGGTTTCCGCATATGTTCTGTTAAAGATTATCCTTGTTATCGGCTCAGTCTACAAAATAATATTATCCGTTTATTTACTAAGCTGGTACGAAACAATAAAGCAAAATGATAAGCAAGTACTAGGATCGAAATTACAATTAATTCTCTCTATGGCGCATTTAGAACTGCAAATTACGTTTAACATTGAGGTAACCCACATAACCCATTTTATCTAAAATGCTAGAAAAAGCTATATATCAGCAAATGTATCATTATTTTAATATCAACAGAATTATACCTAACAGTGAATTCAGTTTTTGCCCTGGGGCCCCTGGGCATAATACAACGAGCGCCTTACTAAAAGTCACAAATGATATCTTTACGGGTCTGGATTCCAATAAAGCTTAAAACTTATTCATTGTTATCTAACGAACAGGTTTCAATCCGTGCATATAATATGAGTGTCTCGTCCCCGGTTAGTATAATGAATGGCGTTCCACAAGGTTCCATCCTAGGACCGTTGATATTCTCTGCATGCATTCCTGATTTTGAAAAAACCATAAAAAACTGCACGAGTATTTTCTATGCTGATGACTCAGCTGTACCTTACATTTCACATTTGACAAAGCTGATCAGATCACAGTATTAATAGTGATTTGAGCAGCTTATAGTTAGGATTGCAACAGAGCACTCATCAATCATTAAAGCTAAGGTTTACTATACGCACATCAATAATAAAATGGAAGCGGCTTATCTGTGCTACGTATCGAATATTTTAAAATTTTACTTTCGAAGGCAGTTCATAATTACAACCATATTCCCTAAATAAACAGTTTCGGTAGAAAATGTACCTACCTAAAAGAACACAAATGGTATTTTTTAAAAAACGAATTCGACGCTTAAGTACAAAAGAAATACAAAAATTGTGCATTACTTTTACATTACTTTATTGAAGAAATTTCAAGCACTTTCAATGGTCGTACACAGTCTATAGAAAACAATTACTTTTGATCTACGAGTATATCTTTGACTTTTTTAACAGAAACTTTGTTTTAATCTCTTACGAAGACGTTTAATGTGACTTTAAGAAGTACTGTTTAATAGTTCAATAGTTTCCTCAATTATTCAGTCTCTCAAGTCACTCAATCAGTTTTGCAAAGGAAACGACAAACGGAACTCCAAAGTCAATCACTTTTTAAAGCGAGATTTTTTATAGCTGAAAAGTAAACGGCAATCCATTATATTTGAGCTCGATCCACCTGTAGGCTGAGTTATGACTTTGTGAGGGGTACATATGGATAAATAAAATCTTTTTCGATGAAATTCGCTGAAGGCGATATGCCCTTATTTCCTGCCCGCTTTGTGAGAAATACCGGCGTTTAAACTAAAAGCCAAACATGTTCAAAGGGTCATGACAACGATCTTTTGAGTGTAGGTATGTATAACCAAGTCAAACACTGTTTATAACCTAACGTAAAAGATTAAAAAGGAGATAATGATCCTGCTTTTAATTTAAAGCCCCTAAAGTTTTGGAGAAATTAGAAAAGATTTAAATGTTTTAGGTTTTTTCATTGCAACAGAAAACTCTCACTTTTCGCACATATATATATGAAACGTGATTTTACTTACGGATAATTTTTTAAGGTAAGGGTAACAATTGAACGAAAATCAAAATATGCAAATGTTTTAGTTTAAATATAATAGTTTCCAAGGGATTTTCAGGTTTTGTATTGTTTTATAGGATCCAATACGAACGCTTTTCACGTTATCATACGAATCCAGATCACATGAGGATCCTCATTCCTCAATATTTAGAAATATTTAGAAATGCGATTCCTGCTCTGATGAAAGTAGTAATTACTGCAACTATAAACCCCACATTTTTTATTCACAAAAGTATTGTCCCAAAAGTCGTATAATACACGAAAATACAGGTTTGTCGAACATTATTCACAATTTTCAGTCCACGGTTAAAGGAACCCTTTTACATTCTTACAACTATCATCAATCAATCATCATCCTACTGGTACTATAAACATAAACTCAAGTTAAGTGTTTGTGACAACGAATCTTGTATATATTGGCACGAAAAACTTTTATACGCGCGCCTTTTATGTTGAAAATGAACCCTTGGGTCTAATAAATCTCCCTTATTGCCAAACGAGTAATTTTCTCTTATTTTATATAGCTATCATGAGTTTATTATTGCAGTGGTTTTTGTTCCACATGGAGCTTGTCAAGGAAACATTATACAATTTGGATGATAGTCAAAAATACTAAACTCAAACCTCAGAAACGCAGGAGAAATAAATTTTACTCACCTGTTGACTAAAAGCATCGCAGTTCACAAAGACAAACCCACGTTTTCCATATGCGATTTTCTATTGATAAGCAGTTATGGAAAAATACAATTCGAACTTTACCTATACCAACAAATTTCGCTTAATGTTTCCGGAAGCGCGATTGGGAGAGGAATGAAACATCATTGTGACAACACTCCATACAACGTTCTGAAGACCTTGCGCAATCACTAGATTGTTATGTTACTCATTTCTCCTTTCATGCAAAAGCTGAAGTGAACTATTTCTACGTTATTCAAAACAAATTGAGTTGGTGTTGCAATCCTACAAAATGAACTTCTATCCAGTTTCATTATTACTGTTAATGGCTTTGAAGACAGACAGAACAATTCCTTATAAAATCATTTGGTAGTCCAGTAGTACCTAACGATTAGTTCTGACAAAGTCGAGTTTTAGAAAGACAAAAATCTATTAACACAAATTCGAGCACATAAGTTATAAAAAATTGAAATCTGAATAATCAGATACTTATCTTGTTTGACTCTTCAGTCAGTTGAAAATATGGGAAAGATACAAGTCCCTGTTAAATGTAAAAAGCATAAACTCCTCGATAAACCCTCTACGTATTGAAAATGCAGATCCACTAACTTTTCTGAAGTACACTCAAAGACCTTTGTATGTTCCCTTTACATTCCCGAAAGTTTCATATGGCGGCACTCAAGAGGTCATTAGGTGTATGAACATGAATTAATTAAATGGTTCGAACGTAGAAATGATATAAAATTCTCAAAATCCCCGTGTGAGATCGAAAGGACTCCAGCGCATTTTTGTGTGGCAGATCAGTATTTTATTAGCCAGTTTTGACTCCATCATCAATAATCTTGTCCAAGGCTACCACATTCCCTTTGACGGTACCCGCTTCCGACGTTCCGTTCACCCGTAACTGGCATTTTGGGGGATTTCGCTAAAAACCCTCCACAAAGTAGTACTCAATTTTTGGGGCACTTATAGCTCGAGCCTATCAGAGACACGAGAAAGAGAGACCACGATTCTAACTTTTAAAAAATCGCAGCGGAAAATACCTTTTGGTCGCCCGAAGTCCACTACCTCTCGAAGACGAACGCCTTGCAAAAGGTGGTTAATTGCGCCCCTGGGAAAAATAAAATTCCGTCACGCACGAGTTGTGCGCGTTAAGATCTTTCCGACGACACCAATTTGAACAAAATCGGGCCAAAACTGTAGAAAAAGATACAAAAAAATCACCCCGTTGGTAAACGCTCAGATGTTGCCGACCCCTTAAAGTTGTTAATTACACGGCCGCGGTAGGTACATGTACACTCCTTGTCTTGCTCAAGCGTTCTTCTACGGGCCCGCATTTGCTGCTAGCTAGTCGGCCGGCCAAAGTAAGATTAAACGCTGGCAATTTCAAATTTGACAATATATCGGTGAAGATGAACGTGACTTCCATGCAAGAATTAAGACATCTGACATTCATTCTATAGTCCGGAGTTAAATAATTATTGCAGTTTTTGTTTGTTATGCTTAATCAACCTAGGATTCATTTTTAGCGCATTTTTGCAAAAAATTTTTTTTGTAAAAAGTAGCTTTTAATCTCACTTTGGCTGGCTGGCTGGCTGGCTGGCTGGCTGGCTGGCTGGCAGTAAATGCGCGCCCGTAGAAAAACGCTTGTAAAAAGACAAGGAGTGTACATGTAACTATCGGGGCCGTGTAATTAAGAACGTTAGGGATGGGGCTACAAGATTTGGAGTCGACGACATCTGGACGCCATCCCCGAGCGTATTATACTAACCTGGAGATTTTTCAGTATTTATCTATCTTCTTCTACAGTTTTTCTCCGATTGTTTTCAAATTGGTGTCGTCGGGAAGATCTTGTCAACGCGCACAACTCCTGCGTGGCGGAATTTTATTTTTTTTTCCTAGGGGCGAAATAAACCACCTTTTGCGCGGCGCGCTTCGAGGGGTAGTCGACTTTGGGCGCCCAAAAGTTTCTTACAGCGCGAATCGCGGTTTCTCTTTCTCGTGTCACTAATAGAAGGTCGAGCTATGTGAAGTACCCAAAAGTTGAATACGATTTTATGCCGGGATTTTAGCGAAATCTACCAAAATGTGAATTACGAATGAACGGGACGTCGGAACTGTGTATCGACAAAGGGAATGTGGTAACCCCCGACGAGATCTTACTGATGGTGGAGTCAAAACTTCAAACGCGAATTGCGAGTGCACGGTAAGTGAGAAAATGGTACCGACAAAGTGAACGTGGTAGCTTTCGGCAAGATCTTATTGATGGTGGAGTCAATATTGGCTAATAGAATACTGATCTGCCACACAAAAATGCGCTGAAGTCCCTTCGATCTCAAACGAGGACTTTGATAATTTTTTAAATTCATTATTCATTATTATTATTATGGAGATTATTGCTTCTTAGGACTCAGATCTAACTTTGTTAACTTAAATCGCATGAATTTAAATCAATTAACGATTTAGGATCTATCTATACCTAGTTCGTCTTGTCAAGTTAGATCTGAAGTCTCATTTTTTTTTAATTTAGGTTATGTAAACATTACCTACGTACATACCAATTTAATTAATTTGTATAATTTATTATGTAAATATTAGTTTGCCTTTGCGTTTGGGTTGAATACGAAGGGACTTTGATAAATAATGTGGAGTGTTACTAGGTAGAGGTCGTTTTGTGTCGTTTACTTGAGCTAGAACGTGTAACTTTACAGGGTAAATCTGTCACTGTGGTTTATGTTGCGTTACTTGTATTTTTTTGTTCAGTAAATTGTATTTGTGTGGTTTCTGCACAGAGCTGGGTCGAGCGTTCTAAAATACCGCTCGAGCGACGAGCGCTCTAATTTTCTCAAAAATGCTCGCGAGCATCGAGTTGTTTTGCAAAGCAAAACCGCTTGCGAGTTCCGAGCACTCCTCCTCGAGCGGTTTATCGCGACCACGTTAAAAACCACTACGTTACGGGAAAAGTGCTCTTGAGCGGAAAAAACGCTCGGGAGCGAAAAAAAACACTCAGGAGCGGAAATGCGCGAAATAACATTAAAATCTATGAAAATATCTATTAATTATAAATATTAAATGTACAATTATGTAAAATTTTGAACTGAATGCTTTGTAAATTTGCTAGTATCTACGTTTTTGTTCAGATAAATCATGGTGCGGAGCATCGAATATTTGCTCCACAAAGTTGGATACCTTGAGAAAAAAAGGCTAGTAGTACCTTTTCTGTAAAGTTCTCAGTATGTTTTTCTTTGGCCCAGATTTCAAAGTTGTCGTATTTTCGTATAAATTTTTCGATTTTTCGGGTACTAACGTGGATAGCGCAGCTTCAGCAGCTTGTTCAATATCCAAAGACTCGTCAATATCACTCATTTGAAGTAATTTTTTCGCAAAACTTTGCGGGAAAGACGGCAAGACGCTACGTTCAACCTGGTTCAACGTCAACGTCACACTTGACATTAAATAATGCATAAACAATGCCTTAGAAACAGATTGCCTGCCAACTTTTCAAAATGTTTAAAAATACTAATAAAATTATAAAATTATCAAATTCTCCTCTTTCACAAAAAATCTTGTATATATAATTCGTTACGAAACGACGTGTTGTCCAACTCGGCTTTGCCTCGTTGTAATAGAATAGAAGTAATAGGAACATTAGGTGTTATTACAACAAATTGTAATTATAACGGTACATATATTATAAAAATTTAACATTTCACATCACTAAGAATAGTAATCAAAATTTATGAGGTAGAGATTGTCTGCTAAAATTTTATTTCGATTTGATTTGTAGGAACAAATTGGTGTCCTTCCTTTTACCCCTAATCCCCATTTATATCTGTTCCATGGCTTTTCAATAGAGGTTAAATCAGGTTGGGCTAAGTGCACATCCCTTTACATTTCCAAAACACTCCTTCCCTTCTATTCTTGCCCTCAACCTCGTCTCTCCATATAGTTCCTTCATTCTGTCCTTTACTTTCTTGCCTATTTTCTCATCTTCCATACTTTTTCCCTTTCCACTGTGTCGAACGCTGCCTTTAAATCCATGAAAAACGCGAATACCTTTCCGCTATTTTTCTTATTCTGTGTAGGTACATATAATATGCAGTTGTTCGCTTCCTTCCCTTTTCTGAAACCCGTTTGTGTTTCCGCCAACATCCTCTTCTCTTTAATTTCTCTTTCTAGTCTTTGGTTCAGTATCATTGCATAAATTCTATACGCCGTAGTCATTATAGTAATTCCCCTATAATTTTCCACACAATCTTTGTTCCCTCTTTTGAAGATCGGTGATTCGACATAGCTCTCATAATAAAATTGTGGACTGTAGTAAAATGTTTAATTGCAAACCAAACGTGAAAATATACAAGAACATAAATTGCGACTACTACAAAAATGCATGTCAAAGTCATGCAAAACTTAAAATATATCGACGTCACTCATTCTTGCTTCTGCGCAATAACGACCTCCTCTGGTTTCCAGGATCGGACTCGACATCCTCCCCCCCTTGGAACGGCTGTTCAACATCTAGAGGCAGAGGACAGACCTTACGAACTGCTCTTGTGACTTCCGAATTCGGTGTTTTAACGCTGACCACCCGCACGATCCCATCTGAGCCAGGGTGTAGGTGTGTGATTCTGCCTAGGGTCCACATTTGTGGGGGGCGATGCTCCTCCATTAACAACACTGGGTCGCCGACCTTGGGTTGGACCCCCTTGCTTGAACGCCATTTCGACCTTTCCTGCAGACTAGTGAGGTATTCTAGATTCCAACGCTCCCAAAATTGTTGCCGGATGCGACAGATCTTTTCATAACTCTTCAACGAATTGAATGCTCGTTGTGTCACCTCCTTTTCGGGTATTGTCACCAGCGCCTCGCCAATTAAAAAATGGCCAGGGGTCAAAACGGAATAATCATTGGGATCGGTACTCATAGTGGTAAGAGGACGAGAATTTAATACGCCTTCTATCTGACATAAGAGTGTATAAAAGTCCTCATATGTAAAATGAACATTATTAATTAATTTGTATAAGAGACATTTTGCCGATTTTACCGCTGCTTCATGCAAGCCACCCATATGCGGCGAATTGGCAGGCATGAAGTGCCATTCGATATTATTTTTTGTGATAAAATTTTGCAATTCTTCATTTTTTGTTAATAAAGCCAACTCGTGCCTTATATTCTTTAATTGATTATAAGCTCCGACAAAATTTGTTCCGTTGTCCGAGTACAATTCTTTGGGAATGCCCCTTCTGGCTATAAATCGTTTCAATACTAGCAAAAAAGTGGAGGCAGTCAGGTCTGTGGCAAGCTCTAGATGTACAGCCTTGCTGACTCCGCAAACGAAAACACATAAGTAACATTTTATGAATTTTCTATTCCGTAATTTACTATCATTAATTAGAAATGGGCCTCCGTAATCAACAGAGGAAGTATAAAATGGCCTTACGGCGTTAGACCTCATGGCTGGCAAATCTCCCATAAGAGGACTATAATTTAACGGTTTAGTACGAAAACAAATGATACACTTCCTCAATACTCTTCTGACAACATCTCGACCGCCTAGAATCCAGTACCGCGTTCGTATAGTTGCCAGGACTGCTTGAGCACCCGCGTGCAAGAGTCTCGCATGCTCCTGCTTTATTAATAATTCGACATATTTATGATTTTTTGGTAGTACGATGGGATGTTTGCTATTGTACGACAATTGAGAATTCTTCAACCTTCCCCCCACACGAATTACATTATTGTCATCTAGAAATGGGTTTAATTTTAACAATCTGCCTGCCGCACTCGCATTACCCACTTTCATGTTTTTTAATTCAGCCTGAAAGGCTTCTCCCTGTACTGCCTTTACAACTACTAGCCCCGCCTCGGCCAACTCTCTACAGGTTAATACTCCTTTCGTTTTAATCTTGGCACAATTTTTGAAAAACCGCCTACACCATGCTAGCACACGAATTAGTTTAGTGAGAGTTGAAAATCTTTCGAATAACTCATAGCTTATGTTTACAACCGCGGTGAACACTGTGCTTGACGATCGCATCTCCAATGTTTCAGAAGTTTCATTTTTTACTTTAGAAGAGTACGTTATTTCGATGGATTCCAAAAACTCAGGGCCTTCAAACCAACGATTTTGCTGCAAAGTCTCGACAGAAACACCCCGTGTAACCAAATCCGCGGGGTTAAGTATACCGCTTACATGTGACCATTGACTGGCCTCAGTAAGCTCCTGAATTTTCCCAACGCGATTGGATACAAACGTTTTCCACGAATTCGCAGGCTTATTTACCCAGCATAGTACTATGTTCGAATCGGTCCAATAATGTTCTCTTGCGAATGCAAGCTTAATGTTCTTTTTTACGGTCTCAACCAATTGAACCAACAACACAGCTCCGCAAAGCTCCAAACGCGGCAACGTGATTCTTTTAGTTGGCGCGACTCTGGATTTTGCACATAATAACGCAACCCTGACTTCACTACCGTACACCGATCTGACGTAAACCGCACAACCGTACGCCTTCTCAGAGGCGTCACAAAATCCATGTAACTCAACATAATCAAATCTTTCTAAGACAACGTGACGAGGTATTTTCAACGCTCTTACCTTTTGCAATTCACCCCAGAACTTCGTCCAAATTTCACCAACGTTCTCCGATATCTCCTCGTCCCAACCTAACTGTAACGCCCAAAGACCTTGTATCAAAATTTTCGCAGATATTACTACAGGCGACACGAGTCCTAGGGGGTCAAAAATTTTGGATATCGCGCGCAAAATGTTTCGTTTGGTTAAGGTGTCTAATTCCTCGTTGTCGATTTCAAATTTTATGATGTCTGCTTTAGACTCCCAAATAATCCCTAAAGTTTTAGTATCCTTATCATCCTTAATTACGTGCTTATCGCCTACGCCCTGTATCGATTCCAATACCGAAATCTCATTGGAACCAAATTTTCTTAAATTGAAACCTCCCTGCCGTAATATACTCGTTATTTGTAGTCTAAGGGCAACAACCTCCGCCACGTCCTGTCCACCAGTAATCAGATCATCAATATAAAAATCATCGGTAATTACGCGACACGCGTGCTCGTACTTAATTTTGTTTTCATTCGCTAGCTGTCTTAGACATCTCGTGGACAAGAATGAGGCAGGCGCAGTACCATAAGTGACAGTTTTGAGTCTGTACAAATTTAATTTATCCTCGTCTCGCCATATTATTCTTTGCAGGTTTTGAAAATCCCTTTGTACCCATACCTGACGGTACATTTTCTCAATGTCGCCTACTAACACTACGTTGTGTTTCCTAAATCGCATCATTATTGAAAGTAAATCATTTTGAATCACCGGACCCACCCTCAATATGTCATTTAATGATTTTCCGTTTGTCGTTTGAGCACTAGCATCAAAAACTACGCGCAATTTTGTAGTGCTACTGCCTTCTTTCACGATCGCGTGGTGTGGAATGTAATAAATTAATTCCCCTTCATCAATATCGCTTCGGTGGTCAATCGATTTGACCAATTCCATATGGCCTAAATTGTGATATTCCGTCATAAAATCCGAATAATTGTTTTTCAACACGACATCTCTAGCCAATCGCCTTTCTAGGCTTAAGAATCTTTTTAAGGCTGTTGCCCCACTCTCTCCCAACTCGCACCCCTTAAGGGGGAGCTGCACGATGAACCTACCGTCGACGTCCCTACTCGAAGTGTTAATAAAGTTGACTTCACACTCTTCGTTCTCGCTTGCGTATTCGCGAGGTATTTCGAAATTCTCAACCTCCCAGAATTTTTGCAACTGACCTAGTAGCTTCACGTCTCGAACACAAGTATTGCAATTACGCTTTTGAACGAAATCCTCGTGCGTAATTTTTCCCGTAACGAGCCAACCCAATTGAGATTCTCTTAAGATAGGTTTATTTTTCCCCAACTCGAGTTTACGCGATAATAATATGTCATAAAATACTTCCGCTCCGATTAATATGTCCACCCTTCCCGGCACATTAAAATCCACATCTGCCAAGTTAATATCGGCCGGAATTTGGAAATTAATTTTGTCAAATCGTACCGACGGTATGGTGGCTGTAATTTCATTAATAATCAAAAATTTTAATGTTCTACTAAAGTCATTGTACATAGAACCAATCGTTACTTGGGCTTGGTTGTGAATATTACTGACCACATGACCTATTCCAGACACCGACACGTTTGTTCTTTGTTGCTTTAATCCTAACATTCGATAAACACCTTTACCAATGAAGTTACTATCTGACCCCGAATCAAGCAAAGCCCTTAGTGGAATATTTTTTCCTTGAGAGTTTCGTACCTTAACTATAGCAGTAGTTAGGAAAACGTGGGCGTTGCGTGTGTTACAATGCGCATTTAGCCTTTCTTCAATATCGTTACCAGCAGTGGAGGAATCTTGAATGACATCCGTCTCTGTACTAGCACGATGGAGATGTAGCACGCTATTATGTGCACGCTTGCAGATTCTGCACCTAGACGCCTTACAAAACCTTGCCGCATGACCCCTCTTTAAACAATTCAAACATAAACGCAATTCCCGAATCTTATTTATTCTATTTTCCACTGTCAACTTCACGAGCTCAGGACACTTATAAATGAAATGGCTGTCATTGCATATTAGACAATCATTTCTTGCTTCAGATCGGTCGGAAGCAACGTTCATTACAACCTTACTCCTAACTCCCTTATCAGTTTTCTCTGCAAATTTATCCCCTTTGCTCCCTTGTATGGTCTCTAATACGCGACACTTGTTAACTAGAAACTGCATTAAATCAGATAATTTTGGAAGGTCATTTGATTCCAAGGAATCCTCCCAGGCCTTACGCAAATTTGTGTCCAGTTTATTGACCACCATGTATATAAGTATAGTGTCCCAAGTACTAACGGGTTGTTTCAATTGTTGTAATGCACCGATATGCTTATTGAAATCATCGATAAGCCTACGCAAAGATGAAAAATTGTCCTTTATTAGCGAGGGCATGTCAAATAACGCTTGAACATGATGGTTAACAACGAGTTTTTCGTTTTCAAACCGTTCTTCCAGTAACTTCCACGCGATAGGATAATTTCGCTGTGAAATTTCCAAAGATTTAAGTACCTCTGCTGCAGGCCCCTTTAAACATGTATTTAAGTAATAATATTTTTGTATCTGGGAAATGGCGCTATTTGATTCTATTAGTGCAACAAAGGTTTCCTTGAAATGATACCAATCCTCGTATTTACCATCGAAAGTGGGCAACTGAATTACAGGAAGGCGTACGTTTTCTTTGACTAAACTTGTCTTATTTTCCGTCGATGAAGCATTGCTCACCGATGCGTCACCGGAAGACGCGATAACCGCCATGCGTTCCCTGGCTGAAGCAACGGCAGCGAAATAATTCGTCTCAAAATCGCGTTTTAATTCTGAATAATCGTTTCTATCTAATGATTCGATGTGTAAATGAACCTCATAAAATTCGTCGTACAAAGGGTCTATTTTATCTAACCTGGACTTGATTTCGAAGGCTGAAACATTCTCATTATCGTTAAGCCAAACGGCAAATTCGTTCACCCTACGTACTACACTATCGCGTTTTAATTTCGATACCTTTAAACTGGCCTTTATACGAATGCGTTATACAATATTGGTATAAATACAAATTCAATGAACGTACGATTATTGCCAGAATGATGCCTAATGCCCACCAACAATACTTGACTGTGCAATCGCGCTAAATTCACAATTTCCCAAGAGATTTGCACAATGACAACGAACGATTAAATATAATGTATAATGATACCATAAGCGACACTCATACGACAGAAATAAAGCGTTTTAAATGGAATAACAAATAAGGTGCGTAAATAAAACAATGGTAAGGACACTGACCTTGTTCCTCTTGTTAGCACGTGGTTGGTAAGCTTTTCGAACGTGACCTATATCGTTGCTATTCCATCTTTCAATATTATCGATTGTCGGCTTGCAATCACATCCGGGTCGTTGGACCATGAATCGACGTAGCTCTCATAATAAAATTGTGGACTGTAGTAAAAATGTTTAATTGCAAACCAAACGTGAAAATATACAAGAACATAAATTGCGACTACTACAAATGCATGTCAAAGTCAAAGTGATGCAAAGCTTAAAATATATCGACGTCACTCATTCTTGCTTCTGCGCAATAACGACCTCCTCTGGTTTCCAGGATCGGACTCGACAATCGGCATAATTACCCCTTGCTTTCATTCTTCGAGTAAACCCCCTTCTTTCCATAGCTCTTTTACTAGACTTCTCATCGAGCTTCTCATCCCATCCTTGATCCTATCTTTCACTTTTTCCCCTATATTTTCCCTCTTCTTTCTTTCTCCATCATTTCTCTATATCTATATAGACTATATAAACTTAATTTTATTACACATTTTGTTTGTTTTACAATCCTGCTCAAATAAAACTTTTGTCAAAAACACATGCGGGAGGGGTGTCAAAGTGGGTTTTAAAAAACGTTTTATCCCCCTAACGCTGCAAAGGGAGGACTTGTTCCGGAACTGCCAAAATGAAACTGTTTAACGGGTTTATTAATGGCGATCTCACTTTTCATTTCCTCCGCAAACATTTTGCGGCGTTAGAAGATAAAATGGTATACGAAGTAATAATGTTATTTTATGTGACTTGCGCTTAATTAATTTTTTTTCAAAGAATAGTATAGAATGGCCTATTAAGTAAGGAAAACCGCCAGCTTTATTAAAATATGGAATGCCTAACGGGGTTAAGCAAATAAATTTTCAGTTGCGTAAATGATTCTAAGTTTTTTAAATGAACTAGCAGTGTGTCCAGAGTGCATATTCGTAAATAGCAGCCGCGTTACGTTATTCCTTCGGAAAATTCCGCAGTATTTTTGTACAGGGTGTAAATCGAAAAGTGGAACATAGGCGTTTAATATGAGAAATTACTTTTTCTTTGCGCAAACGTTTCCTAATTATTTTACCCACTTCAAATAAAATTTATAGAGATATAAATTCTGTATCTAAATCATGTGAAACGATTATTCTACCTCTTCTTGTACGCAAAAAAAATTAATTATAAAGATTCTGTTTTCACGAGTTTTTAGTCTAAGTAGCCATGGACTATGTTTCTCTTTCATCATATTTCAACCGTTTATTTAGTCAGAACGTCATTAACACATTTAGATCTTTCTGTGTTATATATAATCGTGAATCTTCCCATTTTCCGGTCAAATTCTCGCATGATTCATGTTGAGTACATAGGGATGCCCTATACGAATTTCCTATGTCTACTTTTACATGATAAAAAGTCTTCTAAAGGACGCCTAACTTTATGCAACCAACATAACTACCTACAACAAATGAAGATCTGCCTGTCATATTAATTAATTTGAATACTATCGCTTTGTCTTTCGTATTCTAATTTTCGTTCGTGTGCGATGTATTCAACTAAAGAAAAAATGGATATTTCCAATTGGTATAGTGCCGAATGCCGATAACAGTTAAAGGAGCTTAAGAAGTTTATTTTCTGTGAAGCTAAAGCAACAATGTACAAGTCAGATCTTTATTTGTTTGAAGAAGTTATTTTGGTTGCATAAAATTAGGCGTCTTTCAGAAGACTTTTTAACATTTGAAAGTAGACATAGGAAATTCCTATGTCTGCTTCTACATGTTAATCGCTGACCGCTGTACATAGATTATTGCATGATCTATAGAATCGAACACTTTGGAAAAATCCGCACTAGATTTACAATTTCTGTAAGAAATCAAATCCTTTAAAACCATGTTTTGGCAGAAGAAAGTGACCTCGAAGATGCACAGGAACAGTAAACATTTTTGATCGAGGTTATGTATATCGGCAAATGTCGTTACGGAAAAACGCCCCAATGTATTTTTTTAATACAGTTAAGTAGAATATGTCATGCATTTTCCATAAAAACATGAAAGAGATTACGTACTAGCGGACTAACTATAGGAACAAATAAAATTTTAAATACATTTGTACATATGATCTGGTAATGAATTTTCCTGAAATTACTTAAAACGTGAATTTTAAATATTATTCAATGCAAATTATTAAATTATTGTAGATAGGATACAACTTTCTGAATTAATGGCCAAACACAACCTGCCAACGTAAATTCTTTCCCATATAAACTCTAATTGAAAATGATGTTCGAAAGTTCGCAACACCCAACATTTCGGTACTGAAATCAAATTCAGCAAATGAGAGTATAATACCTACTAACCATTATACAAACAAAGATGAATCGACTGTGCAGTAAAATATAAATGAAACTTTAGCTAATTAATTTGAGAATAGACCGAGAGATATTGTAGGTATCTGGTATACCTACTGTCACAAAACCAAATTATCTGCAGTAGGTACCTACCTAAAAATTACCCTTAGCGCCTTATAACATCCTTATTGATTCATGTAAATCAGAGTGTTGAATTATCACCTACCTACAGGTTTTAAGTGTATATCATCACTTTTTAGTCAGAGTTCAAATACGCCTGGATATCCTTTTCTGGAGGAAATGAGTTATGGTAATGGTAATGGTAATGAAATGAATCCGTTCATTTAATAATCAGAAATAAAGGACTAATAAATAATACCGGTATTTACTATTTTTCGAAGCTTCATTTCAATTCCGTTAGGGAATAATGACCAGGGATTAATAGCCCTCTTGCACTCAAATCACAAAATTTCTCAAATTAAATATCATCCATGCACACAAAACTCACAAATGCAAAAGTATAAATGTCAAACTGTTGTTTGTATTAAAATGGAAAAAATCTCAAGTTATTAAGTTAGTCGTAGATAAAGTAGAGTATATATTAATACTGGCTATTATTCTTTCGGAATTGTACTTCTCACCGCCGACGCAGCTCGATTCGTCAATATTCCTCGAGGATAATAGCTTATTGCCTTGTGATAATCTACTATTGGCAGCGTTTAAGATATTCCTCATTATGAATGAAAAGGATATTTTTGTAGCTGCAGTCTAGAATATCTTTGAAACTATGAGGCCAAATCTAAAAAAAAATACGGTTCCATATACGAGTACGAAAGGATCTAAGGCTTTTCACTTTCTCTATTATGCAAACTATTTTAGGGATGTCTTGTAACGATACATTTCTGTTAAGATTCAAATTTTAGGTAAGAATTAAAGGATGGAATTGTCCTTTTCAGTTTTCCTTGGAGAAAAGCTTTGGGGCATGGCATGGCCTACGCTTATTAGGCCATGCGGTTATAGTCCAAATGTGTAAAATCGCATACACGTACGAGTACGCTTGCAAATTTGTATTGAGAAATATCGCATTAATTTACACAATTACAACCGGACCTTTCTGTTGAATAAATAATATAGCACTATGATAATAGTTAAAGTGGAGTTTTGATTAGTAAACAAGGGAATTTTTTTACTTGTAACGATCGGATTTTTTAACAAACGAAATTGAACTTTTATTGAAAGTAATGAAAATTCATGGAATCGCTCTTTTATAAATCTGCCGAAAGACGGAAACTTGCGTCGTTTTTAATAACTATGCGTGGGGTCATCGAGAAGGAATTTTGGTTATTTTCATACTTACTTTTGGAATTTCTATTTTAATTAATTGAAATGAAAATACTCCTTTGACCTAGTTCAACTTTGTTAGACGTAAGATGTATTTTTATTAAATTAAAATTAAAGGTAGGTATACTTGTGAATAAGACAGATGTAAGTACCTATATAAAGAATGTAAGAAAAAGTGGAATTGAATCGACTTTGATTTTTGTCAATAAGTATATTCATTCAATCATTTCAAATTGAATTTGTATTTATTTATACCAGAGCGCCAAGTTTTGATTTTCAGATTTAAAAGAAAGGGTCAAACGTACTTAAGGTAAGGGCATTGAATAATAAATATGATTTATTGTTCAATGGTAAGGGCATTATTAGAGTTTGTTTGAGAACCAGCCGTCAATTCAATAATTTGGGTAGAAATAAATTTTGTAATAGTAGTAGGAAATCAATTTAGTACGAACATGGATATTCAACCCCTATAGTGTAACTAAATGGTTAGTCTCGTAGCACGTTGGTACGAAAAGTCACATTTTAATAAGCGGTACACGTTTTAACAGCAAAACTGTCAACTTCAGCGAATAGCCAAGAGATTTTCTCGTTCTCTTTAGATTTTTATAAGTCCAGTAATACCCAATTGTTGGATTTTTGTAATTTTTTATTTTGTAAACTAGTACACGTGGGTAGTTTTAACTATCGCATTACCAGAACTACTCTAAAACTAAGTGTTTCATTTTTAATCCACCACGCTCTATTAAGGATCTGGTAGTAATTGATGAGCAGTTGAAGTAATAGATGGTGGGATCAATTAAAATTTTCTTCATTTGTGTGGTCATATCCTAAAAAAATTGCATTAAACATAAAACTAGTACGTACACTACCTACGACTATTTATTCAAAAATGCTGTGAGCTTATCTCTGTCTTGGACCTGTTGTGTGGTAGACGAGGTGGTAGATATGTATAACAAAATAAACAAATTACTATCGGCACAAGTCTGTGAACTCAAGATGAGAAAATAAAAAATGTCCTCGTGTGAGATCGAAGGGACTTCAACCCATTTTTGTGTGGCAGATCAGTATTCTATTAGCCAGTTTTGACTCAACAATCAATTAGATCTTGTCGAAGGCTACCACATTTTGTGTGTCGGTACACAAGTCTATGGTCGGTACTCGCTTCCGACGTCCCGTGCACCCGCAATTCCCGTTTGAAGTTTTGACTTCACCATCAGGAACATCTCGTCGGGGGTTACCATATTCCTTTGCCGGTACCCACGTCCGAAGTCCCGCTCACCTGCAATTCGGGTTTGAAATTTTGACTCCAACCATCAGTAAGATCTTGTTGGGGCTACCACATTTCCTTTGTCGGTACCCAGTTCCGACGTCCCGTTCACCCGCAATTCGCATTCTGGTGGATTTCGCTAAAAAGCTCCCACAAAATAATACTCCATTTTTGGGTACGTCTCGTCATAGCTCGAGCTTCTGCTGGCGTCCTGGCGACACGAGAAAGAGAGGCCGCGCTTCGAGGCCTAAGAAACTGTTGGGCACCCAAAGTCGACTACCCCTTGAAGACGAGCGCCTTGCAACTTCGTTCATTTCGCCCCTAGGACAAAAAACAAAATTCCGTACTCCTCGTCTTTCCACAAGCGTCCTTCTACTCCGCATTTACTGCCAGCCAACCTACAAAAGTGAGATAAACAGCTACCTTTTTACAAATAAATTTGCAAAAAGTGCCCATTTTTTTGTAAGCATTGATGAAAAGATTGTCTCCTGGCATCACTTCTTTTAAGAGTAATGTAAGCACTAGTGGAAATACAACGTACTTTCCACGCTTTGGGCTTGCTGATAGAAACCTTTTTTTTAATGTCGCCGTCCTACCGATTATAGTCGCCTCTTACGACTCGCAGTGTCTCTGCGGTAGGGGTATTCTTTCCCGCCCCTACACGGGGAAATAATATACCAGACAGTACTAAAACGAGACAGTCGAAAAAAAAAATACTGGGCCTACGTACTGATCCTTAACCCTATCGATCATCTACTATAAATAATAGACGCCCGTTGCATTATTTGTGACCGTTGTTGAGCAGACACTGTTTACTCTCATTTTGAGAGTGGCCGCAGAGATAATTTTGTTACATTGTTGTATTGTCAGCGTGCATTTTTATGTTAAAGAATAATTTTCTGATTTTCCACTGAGTTGCACGTATCAAATTTAGAATATAAATACAAATACAAGGTGACCAACGAATATATTTCTGAAAAGTTGCGCGTACAGATTAGTTAATGAACTTGTTCCATGCAAAATACTTCTGGTTTTACCGTAAATTCAGTTGCACAGTATTTTACCCGAGACGTCTCGGTGGCCTCGATTAACATCGGAAAATTCCAAAGAATTTATTAAACAACTTTTGTTTAACATCTGAAATAAATCTTGGGCACGAATAGAAAAATCTGACATGAAGACTCTATCTGGGTCGCACAAAGGACTCAAACACACAATTAATTGATTCTGAAACGCATGAAACAAGTAAAACAAAATCCCTGAAAGAAAGAAAAGCTTGATTGGACATAATACCCCGCACGCACACGGTCGATGAATACAATTTTTTTCCCTAATGATCCAAATAATAAAATAAAAGCAGAGGCAGTCCAAAGTAAACCCGAGATGAAGTAGGTAATTGAGAGCGCCTAGGTAAAAGTAACAAGATGTTGATGAAAATCTAGTCATTTATTCCTGAGAGACGCACTTTCCAATGGTCAAAATAAAAACGAGTTCCTATGTGCCGTTTCTGAGATATTTGACAGTAAAAAGAGTATTTTTACATGGGCTCTTATGGACAGACTCGGTTTTTCTAAGCTAGCGAAGGTTTTTGTATCAAGACTTAAATGAGATGGGTCTCATTCGAAGCGAAATTTTGCGACAAATCTAAATATGCACGGAAAAGTACATGTTCATGATGAAATAAGGAAGATATTTACCACCGGCGCGGCGACTGCTCTAGTGGCGCGCTATGCATTTCGCGTTTAAATCTGGTGACTTTCCATCAGGTCTAGTATATCATTTCCGAAGCTTTGAAATGCAGTGGTAAAGGTTGTTGAACAACATTCAAATTATTGTAAGTAACTAATTGTAGTTTACTAGAGCCATAAAATAAAATGCACATTTTTAGGGAGACTAGTCAAGTTGATTACTGTAATAGGTACCTTTTTAAAAATCATTTATGACGTTTGCATTGTGCTGAGGTACAAAATACTACTTCATACCGTATTTTTCATTAGGTTTAGTTCTTAAAAACATTTATTTTGCTACTTTTAAGTAAGTAATAGGTAGGCCGAATACATCGCTTGACTTCACCCGAAAGCGCTCTAACTACTTTAATAAAAACGGGAAAACTTGGCGTGAAGTGAAAGAAATGGCTATAGACAACAGCAAATTTATAAAGAGTTGTTCTGCATATTAAGTGAACGCATGAAATAATATATTTATATAAATCATGATACCGTTGAGTGAAGATCCTTCACTCAACGATGATACACTATTGATGCATTATAACAACAGAACAAGTTATTGTTAAAACAATAAATACAGTTTACAGAGGGTTGTAAAGTTCTTTTTATTAATTTAACATTAATAATACTATACATCAAGCATTACATATGCAATAAATATTTCAAGACATAACACTATACAGGCATTTAAGAAGCAATTTATATCTAAGTATATTGTAAATAAAGCAATTCTGATCAGTAGTTTTTGATGTACATACTTATTTGTACTCATTTAGCAAACCCATATTTTAAATTGAAATTTATCGCATGTTTTAAATATTTAAACCATAATTTACATTTGTGTGCGTTAGACTCTGGGATTGTTATATTCAACCATTCCTTAGCATTAAGGAGTAATAAAAACAATATTGTCAGTTTTCAAAACTTTTTAAGCAAAAGTTATGTTTTGATTACAACAATAATAATCTAAAAATCTATGTTTAGACCTCCAACACCCTGTATTAGCATAAACAAGACATAAACATTTTACTTTGCATAACGGTATATCCTAAGAGCAGTGCCTAAAACAGCATCAAATGCATGAAATAAAAATTGTCGATTTTTACATATATTTACATTAGAAATTAACATAAACAGTTAAAGTAAGTTTGTCAGTTCTGCATTGTAAGCATTACAACTAGCTTCACAATTTATACATCACAAAATTTTTATGTACAGATACTTACATACACGATAAATGATCAAAGAAATAATATAATAAAAGCAGTGCCATGCATATGAAATGAACATATTTTTAACACGTTTGCTAATTCTCTTCTCTGAATGAACTCTTCAGGTGTCACAAGAAAAACAATTTAATAAAGAACAAAACAAAAATCAGTCTCTACAAGAAGAGTGGAACAAGTCAATGTGAATAATGTAGGAGTAGCAGCAAATATGTTAAAATATGCAAAATAAAAATGAAAATACTTAAAAAAATCACGTTGTTCACCGAACATAATGTAAAAAGACAATTTGTAGAATTAAAAATACACTAAAAACGGAATGGTGAAAGATAAAAGAAAGTTATATGTAAGTCGGTGAATTTTCTAAACTTTCCCTACACGCATCGCATATTTTATTGTCTTTGGGATTGACAAGGGTACATTTTGGACACTGCGATCCACCAATCGCCATGATGTCTTGTACTTTAGTTTTACTCTTAAAGCACATTTCACAAATTTCGCTCGAGGAATGATTGAGAAAAGTACATGTACTGCACTGCCACCTTTTCCAAGGTTCATCATCGTCCATCATATTTTCCTTTGATTTTAATTTCTCATTGCTTCGGGGAGTTTTTTGTTTACGCAGATCTAACGTTTTGCTGCTTAATACTGAATTAATAGTAGGTTTATCCCGTACTGATAAGGTATTGGATTTCACTACTCCGTTTTGTGCTTGTTTGACAATATGCTTTTTGTGGAGGACTTCCGCGTCACAGTGTTTGTTTTCCATATCGTTCGATTTACTTACATCGGAATTGTGTCGAATTCGTTCTTTCGAATACTTCGGTTGTATGTCGGTAACCTTTTGCTTGTCACTTAAATTTATAGTACTAACCGAGTTTTCCAAACCGCTCAATCTACCTTTTCTAGCGTCCTTGGTGGGTGATACCTTTTCCTTTCTAGCTTCTAATGACGGGCTAAGTAAGTCTCCTCTTTCACCTAAATCCTTTGAATAACCTTGACTTTCTAGATTTCGATACACATAATCCCAACTAGCCATCGTATCTGAATTGGATTCTTCCTTTTCACCTATACATTTATCGTTCTTTATTTTATATGATTCATTGGCTCTGTGCGGTGAGCTATTGGGACTATCCACCGTATCATAATGGTGGGGAGTTGGTGTATCAACTTCTATCAGCTGGCCAGTTGGTATCGTTTGGCAAGCGTAGGGTGGGGGTGGTGGTGGAACTGTATAACCATTAGGAAAACAATTAGCAGGATGGTGCATTGGTTTCACTAAGGACTGAGTGTATGTGAAAGGCACATGGTATGGAAAATGCTGAGACACTACTGGTGCGTAAGTTGAAAAGTTATTAGGATAATACCCATTGGTTCCATATATACATTGGGGAGCTAAAGGTATGGAAGCAATAGATGAGTGAGTATGCAAGGGTGGAAATGAGTGATTCGTAGAGAGTGTTGATGAAGAATGAGTATTATTTGTATACCTAGGACCAGCTGTAAATGAATCGGTACCTTGGGAGTAACTTCTAGTGTGCTGATGAAATTGACGTTCGTGTAAACGATAATTTAAAGCTTGAATTGATTGCTTTAGGCTACATAAGTGGGTCTCACGAAATTCCAGTATGTCTAACCATGTCGGCTTGAAATTATGTGACACTTCTTCCCATATGGCTTTCAGAATCTGCACAGAAATTAATACTATTAAAACGATAAACATCAATAATATCATATAATAGTGAATTTTCATTTTTAAAGAATGTGTATTGTCCTATGAGACACGATTTGAGGCTGTCAACCTATAAATTAACAAACGTCAATTAATTAATCGCCTAGATATGGCAAAAAAGGCAAACCTATTCTTATTTGTGGACGTATAGGAGATAATCAAGAGTATTGAAAGCTTCCCGTACTACGCTGTTACCATAAAAGCTACTCTTTACACGATCCGAGTGGTGTTCATACGACTTTAGTTTACCCTGAAATTCACATACCCACGACTACAGTGCCCTCTATCCTTGACCACCCATTTTGTATTGAAAGCATAGGGCTAATAGCAGTCCATGTACTATATGGTCTAAGGTTGCAGCCAATTAATCTAAAACCGAAAAAACTTCCAAAAATTGGAGTTAACCTAGGAGTTGATTAGCTTTTTGAACAACTGCTTTTTTTCATATTAGAGGGTAGCAACTGATGCAGGTCCATTTTCTACCACACCACAAACTATTGGCAAAGCAAAAATGTCCGAAACTTCAAAATTAACATTAAAGGGAATTTAAAAAAATTCGTTAAGCCGCTTGTGAACAAGAGGCGAAGGGTACACTTTCAAATTTGTTTTTTCGTTTTTAAAAGACCTCATGGACATTTCATCCCTTAATGAGAAAACAAACGATGAAATAATTTTTAATTTCTGATCAAATGACACAAATACCAAGTCTGTAAGTGGTGTAGTTCCGGAGCCTTTGTGACTCAGACAGACAGACATCAAGAGCGCAAAAGTGCACTAAAAATGTAAAATGTATTGATTAGCTTTAGTACCTCAAAAAATAAGTTATTTCATAATTTAATACATATTATTGGGTTATTATTTATCCCTTTACCCTTTCTCAAAAGGCCAGAAGGGAATCACTGACTGACAGCCAGCAGATATTTCATGTAATTACATAAGACTTGCGCCCAATTTAATTAGGATATAGGAAGATTAACCTGACGTAGGATGGAGAATTAAAATTTGTCACATCCGTTACATTGACACATAAATCACGGTTATATGCAGACCCTGCTGTAGGCTATATCTATGGAATGTAATTATATGATTCAATACTCTTAAGATCCCACATAAGGTCAACCTTTGCCCATTTGTTTACTGAGTGAATTCTGGCAAATAATGCCTTATCCCATTTTAAACATGCATTTGCATAGATACCCTGGTACCTTGACTGTGCACAATCATCGGTATAATAATCTAGGGTGAACATGACGATTAACAAATGTCGTATTTCTTACAGTTACAGTCCCCAATGGTCACCCACGAATTTGTGACACCCCATACAGTTCATATCTACTAAAGTCTTCTGCTTGACACAATATGCCTACCTGACACTCAACATAAGCAATTAAACAATCTTGAGAAATAGATATCACTCGATCTGGACAAATCGGCCCTTCAAATGCCAATATACCATCCCCATCATGTTTATAACCCATCACTTCAAATAAAACTTCGGCACCCACAAGATTAGAATCTATTTGGTGCTTATAAAATCCGGAATATAACTAAAAATATTGCTCGATTACATTGTAAACGAGTCATCCGACTAAACCTTTATCTGTTTATATTCGTTCCTCCAAGGTTGAGTAACAAGATTAGCAGCGTACATAGCAATTGCGTTCCATCCTAAAGTCGCTTTATATCCACTAAAGTCCTTCTTCGTGCTTGCTGATCGATGGAGAACGTCTGCAGTTTCCCGAAACATAAACTTCTGGTTGTGTGGCGCCAAGCAAAGATACTCGTGTATAATACCTACAAGAGCTTTAATTCAATATACCTTAAGCAACTCGTAGCCCACCTTCGAGAACATTGCGCTGCTTCAACTTGTTTGGGCTCTCTTCCATTTCTAGATAGCTCAGGTGTAAACTTCCAATTTGTTGCCAGAGTTCTCGTAGTCGGTCGTGCCCATAATTATAGCTGTCCATGTCGAAGATTTCAGAGTACCGCATCAATTAAGTCAGCTCTTCTTTAACCTCAAATAAGCATATTTAGAATGCACTAGATATATAACACGCACTAAAAATACCATTCGATAGTTTGCCAAAACTAATTTTGTACTTAACACATATCAGGAAGTTAAATTTAAACTTTGTGCCAAAATAATTGCATTACAGGAACATTTTAAATAAGAAAATAAAGTTTTAAACACAATCAAGAGATACTTGAATCGTTTTACAGTTTAAAATCCTTGTGTTTATTTGTACAAAATTCATATTCAATTCACAGGTTTGGTGAAACGTGAATTCGTTTTCAAAAATGTTCAATTTATGAATAATTAAAAGATAAAAATGTCAAAGACAAAAATCAAAACATAAAGGAAAACAAATGTCAGGTTGACAGAGCAGGGCAGGACTCGCACAGGTGTTGGTTACAAAAGTTGTAAGTTGCAAGTTTCCATTGGAATTTTGTTATCTTATCCTCACAGTTCAAAATTTTATAATTATTTGCATTCAATAAAAATCCCCATTCCATCCTTTCCTTCACATTACAAAATTAAAAAAGCGCAGGTCCGGATTAAGACCAGTATAAAAAAAGACACCACTAAAAATATGCGAGAAAAAATACCTACTATAATTGCTGAAGCTGAAATGTAAGTCCAGTATTGGGAAGTTTAACGGGCGACGCTAAATAAATGATGCGTTTTATGAAATATAGTTACAATATGTACAAAATAGTAACCGTGCACACAGCGAGCGCTGTCGTCGGAGTGAGCGCGGATGCGGGGGTCTTCTAGGGCTGGTGGAGCGTATTGCGAGGTCGAGCTGGCAAGGACCAACGCGTCTGCAGGCGGAGAGCTGGTTGTTTCTTGAAGTGATCGACATTAGGCCAGTACCCACATCACATCGTTAAAGACTTGAGTAATATTTTAAAGAATAAGTTTGCGCAATGTACAAATACCTATTGTAGTTTACGTTGGTATTAATATTTATTGCCTTTATTGATACTCGATCTATTTTCTAAAAGGTCAGTCACACATAAATATACCACCAAGATAAATTAAAATTTACTTTTTCTTTAAAGTCATGCAAAATACAAAAAAACCGAAGTACTTAGTACTTGTACAGTGTACTTCTACTTATGCATTATCATATTTCTTGTAGTTGTACAGTATAGTGGAGGTTTTTTTTCAATAGTTGTTACATCGCACTGCGTATAGGTATGTGGTGCAATGGTCCCACAAATCTCGCTTTCTACCTGCACTTACAAGAAAACAATTTGCATGTTTATTAAAACATAGGAACTGTTCCTTCATGTAGGTACTGCTTATCCGTAACTGCAAGCAAAACGTTTATTAGTCAAACCTTTGGATGTAAAACCATGTCTTGACTTTCCATTACTCCTGAAATCTCTTTAAATAGACGTTAAGTTTTCTGCAATTTTCCAATTTTCTGACTTTTTCTTTCCTTAAGAACCGCAGGTCGTTCTAAAGTTATTGCGGGACTAAGGGTAATACAGGGGTTCATTTTTATATATAGTTTTCCTTGTCAAATCACTACTTAATTAATTAGTACTTACTTATAGAAAGTGTGATATTTAAAAAAAAATAGAGATAGGGAACTTTATAGGTCCTTTAGGGATTTATAACCGCCATTTGGTCTCAAACGACTTTTATTAGCGCATTTTTTTTAATTAAAAAACATTTTTTATCTTTGAAAATAAATAAACGCCAGCGCATTTTCGAAAATGACATTTTTCGGATTTTTGACCTTAGCTTCGTTGAAATAATCAAACAACATATTATTTGTCAATACGGTTATAAAATTTCTAAAACGAGCTCTTGAAAGGGACGCCTCGAATTTGTAGTGAGCACAAAAACAGCATGGTAAAATTGGTCCCTTTCAATAATTCTAGAAAAAGACGAAGGAAGTATACCTAATTCTATTTCTTCTCAAACCAACGAAAGGTCCACCTTGCGATTATGCGAACCCAGTGTTGTCCCCACGTCAAACTTCTTGCGTGCAGACTGTGCCCAAGTAACGGCTGGGTCTGAGAACATTACCCTATACATGCATCATACAATTGCACATGGAAAGATATATGTACAAGTGATCATTGATGCGTTATGTTACCCCCTGGGCTGACCAATCATAAAATAGGTACGTAATGTGCGGGCTCTACAATTGCATTTGTGTTTAACCGGTCTCGTGGTAACGGCACATCCGGGTTATGACGTGGATCCAAGCATTCACAAAATTGACAAGTATGACGTATACATTGCAACAATTTTTTTATACATAAAAAACGTAATCAAATTCCTGTCCAAATTCAAAATTAACAGTACTATTTATATCAATAAAAAATGGGTGGAGACATTCAATTATCCGACATGAAAGCAACTTACTACCCTCCGTCAATACAGCCAGCATTTATGGGCGCTCACCCACCAATTAAAAACGGCTACGGATCATTGGCAGAATCCGCACATCTCAGCTATTTTCAAAATTACAGAAACGAAAACTTAAGCAAAATGCAGGTGGGTACCTAACCAAATGAAGTTTAGCAGGTTCCCATGGTCTTTATGTACTTCTGTTCAGATGCCCCCCTACGAATGGGGAATGATGACCACTCCCTACAGCCCCCGCCCCGATATAGTTGCAGGAGGCAAAAAGACTAATTGGAGTAGAATCCTGCATACTCCTAGCCAACCCATTACTTTTCTTGATGTTGGCCGACAAAAGGAAATTGATGATTTTTATAAGGTAGATATATTCCTTACGTAATGAACTCAATAATCCATTGCTTTTTAGCTGTGCCAAATGCACAGAGATCAATACAGAGATCATTCAGGACGTTTGCATCCATTAAACTACTTTAAATTACCGGACTATTGCTACCAGTGTCCAAAAGACCTTACAAGGTAAACATTGCATGAGTACGGTAATAGTAAACAAATTTAAATAAATTTTAGCACATACTTAAAATTCCCACAACATTATGTCAAATACAAGGATCCACCTGTTTTACCAATAACACTGGAGAGGAGTTACAGGAGTCCATCTTTGCCCCAAAGAGCGTTAACTGGTCGTTATGCACCAAGCAGTGATAACAGCTATAAAAGATGAAATCTGCTAAACATTTATTGACTATATAACAGTCGAACAATCAAATTTTAAAAGAAAATGTGCTGGCAAAATCTGGCATCTTTCCAATAGCATGTTCGAACTCCAACTGATTGATGCTCCCACTTTTTTGTAAGTTAATGGCTTTCAGTAACTGAAAAATATAAAAAAACATGTTATCCACTCTACTGAGATTTTTCCTATTAATAAAACACTTGTTATCTACAATCATTGTTTATTTTAATGAAAGATATACACTCGCATTCATAAAGTAACTAAAAATGCAAGTACCTAGTCTTGGAAAGTAGCTAAACCTTTCTTACCAGAGCACGAGTGCTACTATAGCCCGTAATAGGAAATACAAATACAAGGGCGGAAAAAATTAGGTTGTTTTGCAATTTATATTTTAATTATGCCCGTATACGTACATATACTTACAACGTTCGCAATGTGACTTTTATCCAGCTCACTATTAATCTTTCCATTTGTTAACCTATCAACCATAATTCCGATATCTTCAGCATCAATAGATCCGTCTCCATTAAAATCTGCAAAAATTATAGTATAAATATTACAATCACGAAATTAAAATAATTATCCGATTTACCATAAATTTGAAACGCCCACCTAGCTTTGACCTCATAAGGACAATTTTCGCTCATTGCAGAGCACAAATCCAACATATCTTCAAACGAGAGACGACCATCTTTTTCACTGGAAAAAATTCTTAGTATCCGATCCCTAAAAGGATTGTACTAGAAAAATTTGAGTTCCTAATCAATTCCTTACGCGTTTTACAAATTTACCTTTAATTCGGGTAATAGGCTTATGATTGTGTCCAAGTCGTATCTATGATGTGGATTTAAAGTTTCATAATCTGGACTTACCAACATGGTTTTCTTTACCAATCTGAAATTTACCATTTGCTATAAATACTAGACGCAAACCTAAATACCTACCTACTTAACAATATCGTTTCGAGTGAGATACGTGAGTTGTAGGTAATCCTCTAATAATTCTTCTGTTAACCTTCCAGGTAGGCTTGACGTTAACCCCATGGTAAAGCAAGCACGATATAAACAAATATGGTATTGTTGAAACGCTACTATAAATGCTTTAATCTTATCAGTTGATAAGGGAATATGATTAAATCGGCAATTAATGGCTATATGGTAAATCATTCGTAGGTGTTGGTGCTAGTTTGTGATATCTACTGCCGGCAGTAGGTAGGTATTTAGCAATTCAAATAGGCAAGTCAATTAAGGCTCTATGAAATTTTCTTGTGGACCAAAAAAAAGATCTATACCGCACAACAGATACGATTACACTTGTGTTGCTTAACAAGTTAAATGGCATGGAAAGATGGTACCTAGGCGCGAAAGAACATAAAAAGCACTTTTTATTCCAATTAAGGAACGAATACCATACCTACTATGTTTGCTCAACAGTCAAAGAGCTTTTCTACAAAAAGGCGCATACAAAACTCACAAGTAATTAGGTACTTATCCATCGGCTATATAGATGAACGAAATACATTCAACACAACATGAAAATGGAAACGCACACACTGCACACACCAATAGACGTTTGAAACTACTGAAACTTACTTCATCTGCACCTATCTTATACACTTTCCAATCAATCGGACTTGCGTCCGACCTGCAGTTGTTTAGTCGCCTCTTACGACACGCAGTGCCCTCTGCGATAGGGGTATTCTTTCCCGCCCCTACACGGTCATTATATCGAAAAAACCGCCAAATTTGTGCTTATTTCTGGCAGGATGGAGAAGAGAAAAAAAATTTACATAGTGCGTCACATGTCACAATAACGCACTCGAAAGTTGAATGGTGTGACGTTTATGATACTGCATTTAAAAGTTTATAAATCATAAACGTATCCTTCAACAGGAATAAGTAAAGTATATATTGGAGTAAATCCTAACCTAATGTTGTAATATAGGTACTCCTTGTGAGAAGGGGCTCTTAAGGTGTAATATAAGCGCCAAAAGTACAGCTGCCGAAATATGGTACCACCAGTGTAACTACCGAAATAACCCCCCTGACCAACTGCGAAAAACGCACCCCGGACCAACTGCCAAAATATAGCAACCCGCAGCAGCTGGTCGTTTCAATAAAATATAAAAAAAATAATAAAACAACCTTGGGCTGGGCCGTTGTGAGTTGTGACACATGCGCGGTGCGGGAAAGGCGAATCAGCTGGTTTGCTCTGCACACAGCTAGGTACGTTGTTGATTTGTCACTATATCTCCATCCGGTTAGTGCCCACACTCGCGTACGGCCTGCGCAAGATTCAATTCTGGTCAATTATCCGCAACAACACTGTCTCTCTATTTACTACATACAACTCTGTATGTGTAAACTCTTATAGGTTGGAAAAGTTCCATAGAAGTGTGATTCATATGTCAACGAAATTTTTTAATTTGCGCACACTAAAAGGAGAGATTTACAGTTTAAAAGTCCACTCAAACGGACGCGGGAATGCGGGGACGGGAGCAGGATATATTTCTACAGCAGTATATGCGTGCGAACCGCCGCATCGGTATGCATACCGCATAACCCGCTGTACAAATACTTCCCGCTTCCCTACCGCTGCCGCTCCAGAGCCCGCATTTCCGCATCGGTTTGAGTGGACCTTAAACCTTTAAAATTAAAGGTTTTACCGTATTCCGATATTTGAAAATCAAATGAACATGCTATATAGTAACATAAATACAAACGGTTTGAGTGGACCTTAAACCTTTAAAATTAAAGGTTTTACCGTATTTCGATATTTGAAAATCAAATGAACATGCTATATAGTAACTTAAATACATTATTATAATGTCCTTTTCAAAAATGCAACAATAAATATATATTATTATTTGGTTAAATAATAGTATAATAATAAAAGTATACCAATAAACATGTCTTACAGTAACCGAAATAATGAATTTATTCCATTTGGCTTTTCCACACTAGTGTAAGCCGTTCATATGAAATATTGTGCCCTTTGCGGAATTATTTTCTTTATGCAGAAATTAAGCGGTAATTATGCGCTTTTTAGCGCCGTTACAGTTAAATGGAGTTTCGCAAAAACCACTCCTTCACTCGTATTATTTTGGTCAACTTTAGGCAGATTATCATTATTAATTATTGATTTCAAAAATCAAGCAAGATTTGCCACGCAATTCCAAGTTCACCTATACAATCCCCAGGAAAATAAGCCATACACATCACCCGACCACGCATAACATTAAAAACGGCTGCTGCATAACATGTTGCCGAAAGATTCACCCTAAATAACGTTTTTTGGCAGATAGTCTACCTGTTAAGTTTCTTACTGATACATCACAGGGTTGAATATGTTATGGCGCACAGTGGCGTATTTAAGCAATCTGGGCGGCCAAAATGAAATATTTGTTTAATGCATTATTTAAGGTGGAATTAAGCAAATTTATAATGTTAGAAAAGCAAAAATACTAAAAATATACTACTATTACAGAGTGTCCAACGTTATTTAGACGCATGTTTAACTTTTATTATTCGAAAATGAATTAGGTCTAAGTGATGCAGTTTTCACTGATCATTTCCACAGTTTTTCTATCTTTGGTGCTTAATATATTTTTGAAATTATCGTCATCACCTATATGTACAGGGTGTAGACGTGTGGTGAGTTTTTTAAAAAAGAAAGAAATAACTACTATAAATATCAAACAAAAAATTCATAGTTTGAGCGTCGATTTCTAAAAAAATCGCAAAAACCCGCAAATTTTTTTTGTTAATACTAAAAGAGCATAATTTTAGAATTTTAAAAACATATCTCAATCGACCGGATCGAGGGCGGAACATATACTTAGGGTCTGCACTTTAAAGCCAACAGTTCCCTTTTTAAGAAACAATAGGCAACTTTGATTGATGCCATAAGAAAAAAAAATGGAATTTTGATCAATGTAACTGCAGAAATAATGATGACTGACCTGGCTCATTATCGCCCATTGCACACAACATAAGAAAACTTGTAATAAAATTAGTAATAAAGAATTGAAATTCGCTTGACGCGTGTCTTAGAATTTTGCAAATGCTCATTCAAAGGCCAACTTTGGATGGGCACTGCAAAAAACGGGCCGCGCTCCTAGCGACAAAACTATATGTTATAGTTCATTGATCCTTTGGCTTTGCATCTGAACCAATTTTGCGTAATTTTTTTAATTTTGGTAAATTGACATTTTGGCCAGCTAATTAAATCAAATACCCCACTGTGTGGCGCCTAGTGGTAGTAAAATTATTGTTTGTAGATGGATCAGGGCAGATGGCGATTGGACGATTGCCATGTAGTTTACTGATCTTATACCTATTGGGGCTAGTTTGCCATTTCTCAATAAATTTATTCGGCAAATAAGTACCTTTACAAGTGTATTAAACAATGGCATCCATGTATTTGTCGAAGAATAAAGTTATTGCCAAGTGGAAAAACTAGGCCTTTGTTCAGGAGGATTTCAGAATGGGAAAAGGTCGGCATACACAATCATAAATTTTGAATGTAACTATATTATGTTGTAAATTATCTTAATCGTGATTATTTTTAGTATTCTGATGACCCATTTAAATAGGTATAAACTGCACATTTTGTAAATCCCTGAAAAGCTAAAACCAATGTGTAATTTAAAATATTTACAAGTATAAATGTATAAGTACAGTATGAGCAATTTCAATTGTCAAAAACGTCATTCAATTCTCAAAAAATGAGATCAAGCGTAAATTGTAAAATAATAAGATATGTGTAACTAAAAATATATTTAACTAGAATTTAGCTATAAAGCAACCAGCTTGAACAATTTATGTTAAGTATTAATAAATCATCTGCGATTTCACCTTCAAAGCCCACAATAAAATATCAACGTCTCCCTTATTATGCTAAATAACTTATGACTAAAATATGGAATAATTTAACTGTGGAGTGGTAGTATTAGCTAACTTTAAATGCAATTATCTATACTAAGATGGCAGTGTTATTGCACCAAATGAAATACGCACACCACATGTAACTGTCCCTTAAAACTAACAGTCAAATAGTTACATGAAACTAAAAAACACATTTTGATCAAATAAGAAAGAAAATCTGACAAATATTTAACCCTAGCTTGATTTCTAATTTAGTAATAGAATATTTCAATCATAAATAGTGGCTTATTAACGAAAATGTACCAGGGTCTTCGAACCATTTTTTAAATGCAAACGATTAATAATACCAGGTCGGCTGAAAGACCTGGGTTGCAGTGCTAGTCATCTGATGCTAGTATTGCTGACCTCATTGTCATCACCAAAATTAATTACTCTACGAATACGCTCTATTTTTTCTGAACGTCCAACTTTATTCGGCCTATTGTTTGAAGTCTCCTCGATGATATTAATTCGATCTTGTAAAACATTTTCCTTATTTCTACCCTGTAGAAGATTGGAACCGTCACTAAGTTTATCCAGCTCAGCACAACTTGGTGGTCTGCGAAGCCGGGACTTTTTCTGAGCCTCTCTAATGATCTGATCGACTGTTTTTCCGCGGGTCACGGCGAACACATATTGACGGGCGATACGAAGCATACTTTCCGTTGTGCTACCTCCTTCGGTTCGCGGACCATTTGTAAACAAATTGGGCAAAAAATGTCGGATCACTCGCGCCAAAACTGAGGCGTATACTTTAAATTGGGGATGCTTTAAGTCGATGCTTTGAGTACGTAGAGCTTCCGCCACTGTCCACATTAGTTTCTAAACCAAGAAAGATTATTAAAGATACTAAACAATAAAAATAAATTGACAGCGGGTCTACTGAATATTTTAATCAGTAGTGTTCTCTGACATTTGAGTAATTTTTATAGTGCTGCTTTTCGCTCGTTTCTGGTGAAAAACATGTATCTATGTTTGTAACTTCACAATGAAGAGATGCCATATGCTCACTTTGGAATGAAATATATTGAAATACTTTAGAAATTTCATTCGGATTAAATGACTAACAAATAAGACACACACTATATGCAAACGTCACGGTTTTTATGAGCTCCAAAAGATGGCTACATAATACTGTTTTAAATCAATATAGATGAGCGACAAGCACAGATAGACAGACAGAAAGTCTGAATTACCAAAATTTAATCAGTTAGTACCTTGACCATTGTCTACCTACTATTGAAAACAGAATTGGAAAATTCAAAATCGTTCGCGAGTTGTCATGTACACAGACAAAAGGCAAAAAATCCAAAATCATGAACGAGCAGTGGCGCTTGTTAATAATGTAATATACTATTACCTTTTTGCGATGTTGCGATATTTCTTGCGATGAACCTAATGAAGTGCTTGGCTTTGTCTCGTTTGAACCTTTGGTGTCAGCAGGAGCAACCTTCACTAACTTATTTGGCGGTCGTTCGTCGTCTTCTGCCCTTTTTCGTTTTTTATCACAGCCATCATTTTGTTTATCGGGAGATTTAAAAAGTGCACGCTTCGGCGTCATTTTACGACGAGCAGGATAAAGGCTGGAAATTGCTAAAAGATGTTAAATTAAAAAAAAATTCAGGTGACCCAATTTCGATGCATTACTCATTTTAGAAGGGGAATTACGTTTTGGTGGCGAAGGAAATAAAGCGCGCCTTGAGGATACGTTGGAATGTTGTGAGCAACTCGAATTGGAATTGTCTGAAAATGATCCCATAAATTCACAAAGAATGATTGCCAACTAGACATACCAGAGTTAAACCATGATAATGTACTGCTACATTCTTTATGTGGAGGGCTTTGAAATAAAGCCCTTTTTGTAGTGCTTGGTCTTGATGATGACAAGAACGATAGTTGACTTAAATTCTCTTCTATTGCATGGGAAGTAAGGGATAATGTGTGCTTCTTTTTACCTGAACTTTTGGGTGTATTAGCTTTTTTCTTTGGACTTTTTCTTGGGGTTTTTCTAGGACTCTTCTTGGTCGGACTTCTACGTTTTGGTAACATGTCAAATTTCCTGCAACAAATGAATTATAAGCATTTTTTTGTCTTTTCATATTTATGTGCGTTCTGTCGAATGGTAAAGATTTCAGTAGTCACACGTCCACAAACCCATTGCCAATCCAGACATAAATCAATGTGTAATCTGCAAAAGGGTTCGAAATGCGCCAATTCCATTGAGCTTGGGAAAAAGAAATCATCAAATTTAGCGTTAAAATACCAGATACACTTTGTTGTGCAGTATTTTACCATTTTCCGACGAGATTTTGGATATGAAATTTGGCTATGAACAAATGACACATGATATTTAGCAACGCCAGATCAACCATATGAATTGATCACATGCCCTGCAGGACTTCAGTGCTGTGCCATCCCATTGATCACGCATTCGTTCATTCGTACATCAATTGAAGTAGTGCTGCGTAATTTAAGAGATTCACAAACACAAACTTCACACCACAAGACTGCCAATGCAAAAAATGTACAGTAAGTAAAGACAGCATTCCGGAATGATACAAAAAAGCATTTCGATGAAAAAAAAATAAATAAAACAACAAATAAGAGCAGGTCCCATTTAAAAAAAATAGCAAAAAGGGCAGGTCCCAATTAAAAAAAAAACTAAAGAGCAGACAATGGCCCTATTAAAAAAAACAAAAGAACAGAGAACATAGATCCCACCCATCCCCGTTAATGTCATTTAAAAAAAAAAGAACAGGGGACAATGCCCAAGGTTGGTATATTACAGGTTGCCTCGTAACTGCAATAATGGGGATCAAGTCGTCTGCTCGTGACGTCACTGGTAGCCACTCAAATTTCGTTACCTTGTCATTACTTGTCATGTGACATACGCGTAAGGTTATAAATATTGAACCTGTGCATTCAGAACCTAGAAATATTATTAAAAGGGTCGTGGAATTCTTTGACAAACAGAAAGCTGCCGTATGTGGGCATTTCCTTTGGAAAAGGCTACAGAGCTAGCTGCTGCTGTGACGGCAAATCAATAAAACTCATAACTAAATTAGGTAATGTTAATTTCAATTTCAATTATTGATGGAACGTAGCAACATTGTTGATTGGCGGTCACGATATTTACGGAAAATGAAAGAAAATGATGCTTTAGGGAAAAGCGGGTCGGCAGAAGATGAACGTGTTTAAAACTGACCGAAGCAGGAGGATCATATGGTCTCGTTGATACCGCCTATCTCATCTACAAATCGAAGACTTAAGTGTAGAGACAATATAAACTGTGACTACGCAATTGATTGTTAGATGAAGCTGTTTATCTTTCACGGTAAACACTGGTACATCAGACGAAGATTGACTGTATTATATAACGATTTATAATTACTAAATTTTAAAATATAAAATGAATATTTGTGTTTCAGTAGTTAAACGATTCAAACATCATCAAAGAACTGTAAACAATAGCTACGCATCAAATTTTCCAGCTGTATGGCTGCATGCATTTATTATTTCGTTTAAATCGTGGGATACCAGTGACGTATTCGCGCCTCGATTGCTATTGGTCGATAGTTACGAGGCAACCTGTAATATACCAACCTTGGACAATGCCCATTAAAAAGAAACAAAGGAGCAATGGACAAAGATCCCACTCATCCCAATTAGTCACATTAAAAAAAAAACGAGAGCAGGGTAAAACCCGAGGTAAAGCCTTTTACCTCGCCTTTTACTTTACAGAAGGAAGACCTTTTCCTTCACTTTTTTTAAGCATCATACCTTGAAGGAATTGCTTTATTTTTTGAAAGCAAAACTTATTTTTATAAATATTGACCAATGTCAATAAATTTAAAATTTTCTAATTGTACCTCAAATATTTATTGTTAAAAAGAAATCTAGTAATTAGAAGGAACTATTTGACCAATTTCTAATGCCATTTAAATTAGAAGAATAGTAGCCAAATATAGAAATGTATTTACTTTCCCTTTTATGCAATCTAAATATGAAACTGGTTTAAAATTAATAAATTACTTACTTTGCATCAACCATAATTTGCCGAGTTCGAGATCCGATCGAGGCGCACTTTGCCGAGATTCCCAAAGAATCCCTCGAAAAAGTAATACGCCTTCTCGCAAGATGACTCAAATTCTTTCCTGGAGATTTAACTGTACGTCCATACTTAAATCTTCTCTTTGCCGGACTCGATGCACCAACACCAAAGACCGTACAGCTTGATTGTGTTTCTGCACCAATATATCGCTCGGCATATTTCACGCACAAATGCTCAAATTCCTCGCTCACCGTGCTCCTGTTGTAACTGAAAAAATAAGTTGTAATCTTTCTCTGGTGTAATCTCGAATGCTATGGGAAGGCGACAGAAAGTTCTGGAAAACCTCCCAAGCCTTTAGAGGTGTCTTTCATGTTTCAGTTAAATTTATCTAAATAGATAACGTCCAATTTCATTACATTTAGAAATTAACTGTCGAATGTCCCTCTTTAAAGTCTATATTGCAAACTTTGAATTCCGGGTTTTAAACTAAAGTTTAGCTCTAAATTCAGCCATTAAACACTAATGGTTGGTTTTTCATGTTTCAATTAAACTTATCTGATAAGAGTACCTCCGACGTGATTTGTTTCCAAAAAGGTTAAATGTCAGATAGGCTTAATGGACATGAAAAACGAGCCAAGTACAAAAACGAAACTTACTGAATGCCATGGTATCTAAGCTGGAGCATGTTGGACCCGAGGTTGGTCCATTCACTAGTTTTGTAATCAGCGTTGTTAGGATCTATTAAAAGACACTTGCGCCGCTCTTCCTTCCTATGAATATTATTTATATCCTCTTGAGTAGTGAACAACGCTTTATGCTCCATCGCTCTTTCCAAAATTTCTGTTGCAGACATTAGCGGTAATGTAATGCTAGGGGGTGGCGGAACGCCGCCAAGGGAATCGCGTGTGCGTTTCACTAAGGCTCGTTCATCACAATCAACTTCGTCAGTAGACTTCTGTAGTAGTGAGGAGTTATTTTGCAGTGCAGATTCAGTCTCTTCGTCATCCGAAAATAATTCGGGAGTTACGGCAGCTAAGGGGGCAGTGGTTTGTTTGGAAGGTGTTGAACTACAAGTTTCGGACACCTTTTTTACATTTTCTAATTCTAATAAATTTTTGGCGGGACTATCGGCAAAGCAAGCTGCATCTTTCTGCTTCTGATAAATGTGCAATTGACTCGGGTTAATTGAATTAGCATCAGTGTGGTCTGAAACCGGTTCGTTCTTCGTATACAATTTACACACAAACGAGTAGAAGCTTTCGAATAGTGACATATCATTGTTGGCACTCATTAAACGAGTTTGAATACTATTCAGAGTGGCTTCTGTGTCGTCAAATGAAGAATTCTTGCTTTCATTTAGGTCAATCTTTGTATTAGTTTTAATATTTTCATAATTACTGTCATTTTCCTTATCTGAGCCTAATGCAAATGTTTTCATTTTGACTGGTGTTTCTCGACTTGATTCAGCAATTATAATGGGAGGCGCTGTAGGTATAGTTCCTGATAGGTTTAATACTTCATCATTGTCAAATCCACTAAACGTTGTACTTTGGCTGGTGACTGACGAGGGCACTATTGCGTTATCAGAAATTGAAGACATAAAATAAAGGTGATCAAACTCTCCGTAATCATTTCCCTCTAGTTGTTCACTTGTTATAGAGAGCGAAGGTTTCTCCAGAAGGGCATTTTCACTCAGAAATACCTCTGTAATAGGTGCAGCGATAGATACATGGCCGTGATCAATTAAAGTATCATATGATGAATTAGATTCAACATTTTGAGAAATATAACCACTATCATTGTCTGTGACAATGGGCTTTACCTTGTCTTCACAATTTTTTTCTGGAGAGATCATGACTACCACTTACAATCAGCTAATTCCTCAGCATTTTAGATGTTTGCAAATTACAAAGCTACGTATGGAAGAGCAACCACTATAACCTCACAAACGTTTAAACTCGGTTTAAAAAAGTGCTATGGCAAGTCGCTATTATTATAAGCTGAAATTATTGTTGCTTATTAAAGCAACTGCAAGAAGCATTGCAAAGTAAAAAAAAACGTTACAGTTGCTCCCTTTTTTAGTTTTGACGTTGACAAACACAACACAAGCCTCGCACGAGCAACGGAAAATTACGGTACAGATGCATATAAATCTGCAATCACAACAGAGACGTAACGAACAGCTGAGCTTTCGTAAATTTCGTACAAATTCTGCGCCCTCAACCGTGGACGTCCTGAACTATGACGATTTAAAATTCAAAAAACGTTTTTCTTCAAACAAACAAATCGGTGGCCTTTTTGCAATATTACTTATTCACTGAGGTGTATTTTCATCTAGGCAGATTTACTTGCCTAGTTGTAAAGAACAAAAAAAAAACTCCTTAAGTTGGGACAACCTTATTTTATGATTCGTTTATCAGTATAAAATTAAGTTCAGCAGGTTTCCTTAGTTTGCGCGAACGTCATCGGTTATGAAGACATCACCAAGTATGTTTACATAGCGTCATGCAATCAATTGAAGAGAATACGAATGCAGGTAGCCATACAGACAATGCGGCATTGTGGGAAGGAACCCATTAAGTTGCGAATACATTATCCAAATCGAACGTATAATTGAACTAATTCGTGTAGTTGAGACGATACCTCGAGCAGATTCACCCGCTCCACCAAAAGCCGGTTTTTGCGACGAACACAAAGGGATGTATCATAATTGATATTTTTGTTGTTTTAACATATTAACGGCCAGTTACACAAAAAAAATAATCCAGGATCATTGTTTAATCCGGTATTAAGACATTTGATTGACCTTATACTGCAGTATGCAGCCAATCAAATGTCAAAATTCTTGTTTAAATTCAGATTTGGTAAATAATGTAGGATTTTGATAATTCGCTTTCCTGTAAATGTTTTTCATTTTTAACATTCCACAATTACCATGCGATCATTTTTATTTTACAATTTAGCGTGGGGCATCACAAATTTTGTGTGATTTATCCATTTATAATAATAATAATATTTATTGAACATTATAACACCCTATACTAATATAATACAGATTTTATACGTACAGTTACTGCAAACCACTTAAAACAAAAGTGGTCATTCATAAAAAAATATCTAGATTTTATGCATCAATACTACCTATAAAACTTCACAAAATAAATTGTATTTTATATCATGCATTTATAACTATTTAATTTCCATATCAATTTTAATTTAACCTTGTAAATGGAGTCACTTTTCTCGAACAGAAGTACCCTAAATCACATAAAAGTGCCCAATTTGTGTATGTGAAGCTTGAAATTGATACCTCATCAAAGTTTATATTTTTAACATTAAAATCTCAGAAGGGGGCTACCATATGAGCACTAACAAATCTTTCATGCAGTTGAAAAATGAATTGTAACAACACCACCACAGTTAACTGTATGGGTGCAAACTTTACTTATGAAGTGTTTATTTTTTGGCGAGGAACTCATGCTAGTTGAACTACGCAGTAGTAATTCCGAGCAGAATGGAATACAACACCCCTCTCCCCAGATGCTTTTTTAGAATTTTAATATCATAAGAATGTAAATAAATGATGGGAGATAGAAGAGGCACAATTTATAAACAAAATCATAAAATTGTTAAAATATTCTTGCAAAACGTCAAATTGGCGTCAGATACATAATATACAAACTCAAGATAAGAGCACAGCAATGGTTCGAATCCTTATTTATTAATTGGATGAATGAACTTAAAACTTTTTATTGGATCGAACTAGTTTGTTGTACAACAAAATATACATAATATAATGCAATATATATTCTCACAGACATAACGTCAAGTGTAATTAAATTTCTAAAAAAATATATTTTTATACTAACACGAGTACTTGTCTTTAACTAAATACACTAAAAGATAAATTTCAATTTCTTAAAATTTATATAAATGTATTAGTGTGGAATAACATTTAATAAGACTACATACACACATTGTTAATATAAACTCGATTAATCGGATACCACAAGAGTGTAATGTAGGTAGTTATATACCCAAAATACTTCTGTCAAAAATGTCGAATTTTAGAGCATGAAATAATACATCTAATATAAACACTATACAAATGCATAAATTATATAGTCACAACAAAATTTATATACATAACAAACATATTGAGATGATTTTAAAACAGCCCATCAATATCTATACAAGGATGTACATGTTCCTCCAACGCGTTATAACTAACAAATCTACGGTTACATTTGGGACATCTGAAGTCTGCAACCTAAAACAATAAAAATGATATAATATAAAATGCACAAGAAAAACAAACAACAAGTAAGTGCATCTGCATTTGACACAGGCATCTTTTTGATAAGGGCAACTGTGTCTCACTATGTAAAGTGAAATTTTTAGCACACATGTCAAAATTAAGTAACGAATATAGAAGTCTGTCAAATGTTACCGCGCATTAGGTAACAATAAATTTTAATTCATATTTGTCACCTACATAATAAACAAATATATATACATCAAATGACAGAAACAAAAAGTAATTGGCTACGCAACCAAACAAGAACATAAAAGTAGTATTTACAACTTGATTTACAATGTTATAAAAACACTACAGAAACAATAACAAACACAGCAATCAATTTTAAAATGGTACGTCAATATCTGCCATACAAGGAGCTACATGACGGTAGTATTCATCACGATTTATGTAGCTACGATTACAGTTAGGACATCTGAACTTTGGACGCTAAAACAAAAAACAAAAACTGTGTATATATAAGATAAAAACAAAATTAAAAAAAAAAATCCACTCTGACATTTAAAAAAGCTCTAAGCATACCCGTTATTGTGCGTGAAATACACAATATTCGACATGATCTTCAAGCACTCGCAATGATCGGAAGTGAATTAAGCACATTGGGCAAGTATACACAACAGGTTCTGGCGACTGTCAAAATAAATAAGAATAATTTCGACATCAACATTTCTGTAATGTCATAAATAACAAATGATTAAGGAATTTATTAAAAATGTAAGGGTGAAAAAGATATCTTCGTTTTGTAAAAACAATGCAAGGTTTTCCAGTATACCCTTTGGCATAAATGATTTACTATTCCCAGGTTTCTAATTTCAGTGTGGGAAATTTGTGTATGTAGTTTTGTACAACAGTGAATAGCTTTGGTTTTTGTAATGGAGGTGGGTAGATGCGTGGATTTAACGTTTCCAACAGGTGAGACATGGGCTTGAGCTATAAAATATCGTTTGGTTTAAAGACAAACACTAAGCTTAAGGGACAAAGTAGCATTTAATGGCATCCAAAAGTATAGAGAATAAATAATTCTATCCTCCCTGTACAGAAAAGCAGATACTCCAATACAGTTGCATAACAGAATTTATCTCTTGACAGACTCATTTAATGTCGTAAATACACAAATATCTGTTCGGGCACCACACTCTGTTTAAGAAATGTTTGATGTGCTGGTTTTGATTCTACTACATTTTTTTTACATACTGTTACACCCATACCAAATTAATTGGTCTTTTTCTAAATTACTCCATAAGCCAAAGTCATAAACCGCTGACTGTCAGTTACAGTTCCGAGACAAAGATAGTAAAGAATTACCTGAGGTGTCGGTGGCGCAGCAGCATGTTCTTCTCTTACAACATGAACATAATCACTACCTCTTAAACGGTCAACCTCTTCAAGCAACTGCTGATTACGTCTCTGCAAATTGCGAAGATCTTCGGCAATTGTCTCTTTTTCCCTGCCCAAATTAAGTTTGGCATGATGTTCAGCTTCAAAGTCGGTTTTGTAGATATCCAACTGTAAATATTCAACGTTAGTAGTTGGTTACTTCTAAATAGCCTACCTGTTCATGAAGTAAATCGAGCGTCTCCTTTGAAGCGGCCATTTCCTTAACCTGATTTTCTAACTGTAAAATCTTTACCTCGTTTGCGTTTATCGCCTCTCTGTCCTCGTTCCGTAAAAGCTCCAACTGTGTTATGTGCATTTGGGCGGCCATTAATTGTTCTTCAAAGTTAACATGGTTTTCTTTCGTGGTGGAAGTTGTTAATAGCTGAGCTTTTAAAGCTTTTATTTCGTCGAGTAAAATTTTTTGCAATGCCTCGGATTCCTTTAATTGCCTGTTTAAATTGTTTACATCCTTTTCGCTTGTTAATCTCAACCTCTGTAAATCATCTGTCAAATTTTGTACTTTTACCGACGACGATTGCAAGTCTTTCTGGTTTGATTTCTCTGCAAGCAGCTGCTGTTCCAGCTCCTTAATTTTTTTCTTTGTGGATAACAGTTCAAACTCACACAAATTATCAAAGCTGCTTTTTAATACGTTTAAATCGACTTTATCTTTTTCGGTTGCTAGTTCCTGTTCAGATTTTAAATGCTTTATTTCATTCCTTAATTCTTCTTTTTCTTTCTCAGTGGTTGTGACGAGTGCAGATAATTTCGCGTTTTCCAATTTCAACTGCATTAAACGAACAAAAAAGTTAGGTATTTTTTGTAAATGAAAAAAATGCTCTAAAACTAATTGAGAAACTTTACAGAAAATGAAATATTAATTTATTTAGAACACAACTTTGATGCAATATAGGCTGTAAAATTTCAAAAAAATGAATATGGGATTTTAGCATTATCTCTCTAGATTCAAAGTACCCGCTAGATCTTAGGGTTGCCATATTTAGTTACTGAAAAAAATTGTAGGCCGGATCTAATTCTTGCAGCAACTATCAACATAACCGCCATCTAACTCGTACGGCCGGTATTATAAAGCACACTTAACTATGTTGTCAGCTAACAATGTTGTTAAGGAATATTATGATTGGATGTTTTTTCAAACAATAAGATCATTCTTTGTAAAAACAACCAATCAAGAATAACATCATTCTTTGTAAAATCATCCATCACATGCCTTAACAACATTGTTAGCTGACAACATACTTAAATACTTATGCTTTATAATATCGGTCGTTAGTCTTACGCCCTTTACGCACATATCAGATAAGAACTGGCCGGTATTCGTTAGCAGATTGCTTTTGTATGAGCCAGTATGGTAGCTTTCACGCATGTTGTAACGACTGCTCGCAGATTTATAGAACATCATACTTAATTAGAGGTATCATACAATCGGAATCAGGTGTCTGTGGCCCTATGACGTCAACTATATTGAAGGACCTCGCTTAATACTTCGCGTCAGCGTGAATAGCATAGTATCTTAAGGGTTAATAGACAATGTTTGTGTTAATGTATATCATGGTAATTGTTATTAGCTTCTGTTTAAACAAATACCCCTGAAAACTTATAACCAATCATTTTACATAAATAAATATTTCCACGATTTTTTTAACAATCCTACACAAACGATAACACATACGCTGTTTTTTTTCTAGAAGTTTGAACACCAATAAAGAACTGACGAAAATGATTTCTTGCATATGGTTGCTGCCAGAATTAGATCATGTTTCTAAATTTTGTCTTTTATACAGTCCCAATTCCAATTTTTGTCATTCTATTGCTCAAGCGATAGGCGAGAGAAATTCACAATCAAAGTCAATGGCTACAGAAATAAAGGTTGGGATAAATTATTTCACAAATAAGAGATTTTTTCCACTTGGAAATCATAATAGTCGCAATTTGGAATTGTTCTGTATCTTAAGATTCATAAACAAAATCCTAAGCAACTTTGTGACCATGAAAGAAAGATTGGATTACACCAGAATACAGAGTCTGATAAATCTGGAAATAGTCGATTCTAGGGAAAATATATAAGATATTGAAAGAAAAGTTTTATGCAATAGTTTTAGGATCCTTCAATGTGTACTAGACAGTAATAATATTAATTATACAGGGTAGGTCATAAAGGCCTAATAAACCAAAACTGCATTTTTTTAATGGGGCACCGTATAAATTATTTGATATTTCACTTCTCTCCATTTTAAGCAAGATGTGTAAGCGTAATGTACCTAAATTCAATCGCTTCCGGGTTATAGAGTTTTGAAGATAAATAAATAAATTAATAAATAAATGTATTGAATGAAGAACAATAATTAATGATTTCAAACAATCATAACCAAACATCACAATCGGTTTTTTTTCAGAACCACAGAGTGATTTCGAAAGAAATTTGTGATGTCATTCATTATTGTTCTTCATACAAAAAAATGCAATTTTGGTGTGCAGTGCTTTTATGACCAACCCTGTATAATTATAATTATTACTACCAAGCAGACATTAAAGAACCCTAAAACTATAGTATAAAACTTTTTTCGAAATCTTGTGTTTCCAGACTAGCCTTATTAATGTTATGGTTCTGTATCCCCCCCAATATTATTTTTATTTATAATTGAATCGTACACAAAATGCTCATCAAATACTTTGCACTTAATTACAAACCTTCTCAACATATTTCTTTATGTCGTCAAATTTCTGTTTATGTGAAGCGTGCACCATGGAAACTTCGTTTTGCCAAGTGGCCAATATTCCATACTGTTTTTTCATGGCTAAGTTATTTTGATGAAGCGTTTCTGAGGGGAAAAATTAGTTTGTGTCTGTTCAACGCACAAAAAGTGACAAACCCAAACCTTTTAACTTAAGATTTTCCTCGATAAGCAGATCTACCTTTTGTTGAATTTCATCAGGACTGAGATCGACAGATACATTTGCGGAAGTCATCGCGCTCACATTTTGCTTTGTTACACGCAGAATCTAAAAGACAAATGCTCATCAAATACTATTAAGAAAAGGATGTACTTACAAGTTCTTTGTCAAGTTGTGGTAAACATGGTGACGAAGGTAAGGAGCTTTCAAGAGCACTTGAAGCTAAACTGATCGATTGTTGCACAACAGACGAGTCAAGTAAGTCTGGTGTATCATTTTTAACTTCCACAATAGATTCTGGAGGTAACGAATGCCCGAGTACTACAAATGACTCTTCATCGTCAGATTCCGGGTATAAAGAACAGTCCGGTGGTAACATGCTGCTAACAGCCATTTTTAAATATCTAGAACATCAACAAAAATATATAAATAACACTAAGCACTCAAGAGGACTGATTCAAATCAACAAATTGGATGATGATCAAAAAATGAGCAATGAAAGGAAAACACAGAACTACTTATTACTAAAGAGATTTAAAAGAATTTCATCTAAAAATAGTCATATACCAATAATAGATCAAATTGAGAATCTCACCAAATGATCTCAAGTAGATTTAATGCCAAATTGTTTTATGAATTAAAATAACATCCTCCAGAAAAGCAATGCCAAAAAACTATTACTGAAACAATTTATCCCCACATTCATTATTATACAACAAATAGATAAGAGTGAAAGTTTTGCGTAAATATGGTATAACGAGTAGTATAATATTTTGTCAAATCGAAATAAGATATGTAATAAAACACCGGAAGTCGCCATTAATTTCATTATTTTAAATTGGAACGCTTAGTTGTTATTATTCATTTTTGGATTTCTACGAAAATTTCATGATGATTTTCATCAGGTTTCTCTCTACCATTGTTTAAACTTTAAACAATGCCTATACCTATTTTTTAGATATCTTGATTTCTTTAAAAAATTTTAAAAATATAGTACTATTTTCAACCATAAGGCTGTTACCCATTCTGATTAGTGCGAGGATTAGTGGTAGTGGTAAGCGCTTCTGGAGTAAACTGCTGCACAAGGATACCTTCGAAATCCACATTGACAATTGATTTATCGCATACAGGGTGACCAAAATTGAATGACTAATTTCTTTATTTACAAGATTTCGTTTTTTCAGAAACACCACGTATACTATGCGATCAAAAAAGAGTTGCTGTCTAGTCGCCTTTGCAAATTCAATTATCTAATATAAAACAGTTGACAATAGGTACAAGGAAACCTGATGACACTCATCATGACATTTTTTCAGAACTCCAAACATAAAATATCAGGATTCCAATTTAAAATAAGTATGACCTTGAAGATATCTTAAACTGAAAAATGTAACACTTTTTAATAAAAGAACACATCACTTACACAAAGTTACAACGCTAATAAAATATATAAAATTACAAGTGAGGGAGATAATGTGTTATCGCCTCCCCTACAATTTGAATTTGTTTCCAGCTAATACAACATTGAATACAAAACTCTTAACTTTGTATACTAAAGACGAAACTAAAAGAATGTTGAAAGTGTTTAGGTTTTCAAAAAGCTACCAATGAAACCTTTTTTTTTATTTAAGAAAACCCTACATGTATCAAAACACTCTCTACTCTGCTACTACTATCCCTTATGTGATCATGTAGACACAGCCACAATTCATCTGACAAATAATAATAATCTGCACAACATGTGACTTGATTATACCATAATTGATAATGGTTATCATAGTCGGATTCGGTAATCCTCTATTAGACATAATTGTACAATTAGATGATGATACTATCTTACAAAAGTACAACATACGGGAAGACTATGAAAAGGAAGAAACTGCTAATGTCATCCGCTTACTTCTTAAGGATGTTTCACAGTAAACTGTTCTGATATTCAGTATTTCGTGAATACAATAACATTTTTAGTTTAAGCCCAGTATTTGCACCGGGAGGGTGCGCTCAAAACACTTTACGAATTTTACAATGGATTCTAAATGAACCAAACTCGACAGTAATGATGGGGGCGGTTGGTACTGATGAACACAGTGCTATCTTGGAAAAATTAGTACAGGAGGCGGGAGTTCATACACAGTATGCTCACATGCTATGAACCTTCAAGTTTACGCCAAATTTAGTTATTGCAGAAAAGAAAACCATCCGACTGGGTGTAGTGTTGTATTAATTAAAGGAGTACATCGTGCACTAATAGCCCATATTGGTGCAGCACAATACCTCAATATTGATGACATACGATGCAATGAGAAGTTAGATGTGCTGATGAAAGCGAACTTAGTATACGTGGAAGGATTTTTTGTGTCACAACGTGTAGCAATTGTTGAATACGTAGAGGCATTTTGTAATGATAAAAGTATTCCTTTCGTTTTTAATTTGAGTGGTGTTTATATGATTGAAAATTTCCCCACAGAAATGTGGGCATTTGCGCAAAATGCCGATGTATTATTTGGAAATAGTAGGGAGTATAAAACTTTAATCAAGAATACTAATCTATCATTGTCGGTAGACCATTTTGCAATACAATTGTGTCAAAATTATCAAAATCGGAAGAATCTACCATACGGTAAACTTGTTGTAATTACAAATGGAGACGAATGTGTAATATGTGCACATAGTGGCGGGCACATTGAGGTACTGCACGTTCCGAAAATTGACAAAAGTAAATTTAAAGATTCAAATGGAGCCGGTGACGCATTTGCGGCAGGATTTTTAGCAGGTTTGTTGTTAAAAAAAGAACCACTAACCAGTATGAAATGGGGCTGCTGGTCTGCACAACAAATAATACAACAAAGTGGATGCACAATACCAAAATACACTGCACAATTTATCACTAGCATTGATTAGTAATTATGATTAACAAATTTAATTTTGTTTAATGAGTCATCAGTGTGAAAAATTAACACATAATAAGAAGGCTAATAAAATTGCAATTTGATAATCGGTATTATTATTAGACGTTAACTTACCTCTAATGATCAGAATTTAAAAAATCTGGATCAGCCCGTATAAACAGCAAAACAAATCAAGAACTTAATTTATTTACAAGCAGAGGAAGTCACTGGCAAATTGCACAAGGAAAATAAATAGTCGATGGGGGAGGGGGAAAATGTCGGTGACTCATTCACCGATGGTTATGATTTATAAAAACATTGTTGCCGCACTGAAGTATTATAAGGTGTAATTTTTAAGGCGCCCGTGTCCTGAAGAAGACGGTTAAAACCTACGAGAAAAACATTTTTACTCGCTCATGTATAAGGTTATATGTATCATTGTATAATATACAATAGTTATATCAAACAGAACTAAGTATATAAGTTTAGGGTACACGTACAAAAATTAGCCTATCTTTTTAAGAGATATTATATCTGTTACGGTGAAAGTAATAAGAATGCGGCGATTATTCATAATCACCCATAAATTTGGGTTGCATTTCACATTCACCAGTTATTATGAATAATCGCCGCTTTAATCGCAGTGCCGTTACATACAGTTCAATGTTACATAGTCGGGCGCGCTAACCTTACATTTGCATATTTAACTTAATTTTCAAAAACCTATCAAGCAACGTACATTCATTTTAACAATTGATAGTTATAATATCACAAGTGATGTCAATTCAAAAACCTAACGCATGTCTGTAACTTGAATTTTTTCTTCTTCCTTTTCTCCTTTAATTTGCAATACTAATTTTCCGCATAAATTAACTTCCATTTGTGCTGGCATATGCCTACGGTTAGGCAACACACCTTAAAAAAAGAATAGCACTATGGGAAGAAATACGAAACTCTCTATGTACATAAATCGTGATAATCTTCAACGTACGTGGACCGTTCTGCGCATAGGCTGGGAGCAGAGATTTTTTAGGAATGAAGCTAGTTGGTTACTTTTCTATGCAGTTTTCACATCTAGTGACTTTTTCTCAATCGATCACATATTATTTTAAATTTTTTCTAACGACTTTTTTGGATTTAGTGACTTTTCTAATGACTTTTTGAATTAGAATCGGCCTTATATTACTACTAGTGGCACCTTAGATTATATATATACTAACAAGTGACATAATATGTATGATCTAAGGGTGGCACAGAGGATAGAATCATTCTGTTTAAAGAGTAAAGAGCACAGTAGTCACTAAGTCACCGCGAGTAGAAAGGTTCTTACCCTGCGTTCGATTACCAAAGTAGGCAATAAGTATGGTTGCGAAGCTATACAGGGGTTGGCAGCTTAGACCATACAGTACAGTTGGCAGTCAACAGTTATTGGTTACTTATTTAGTTACTTATATTATAAATTTGGCACTACGTCCTTCAATGTTTTGTTTTGACAGTTTTCACACTAGCATGCAATCTTTTCGTCTTTTGAGTTAGTTAATTTTCTCACGTAATTCCTGTTTTAAACTTCTAAATTATAAAACCTTAAATCTTTGGATTGAATTAAAAAAATCTACAGTCTTACGAAATTCAAACAAAATGGTAACATACGCCAAATTAAATGAATTCAAAGTGCAAGTTTTTTGTCAGTCTGTTGCAGAGTTTCTAAAAGGGTTACCTTCTTATAATGAAGACAATTTTTCAAAATTTCACGCAGATAGCAACGCAAGAGTTTCATTAAAAAAGCCATCCGTCTACATTCCCACAAAAGATTTTCCATCGGAGCAAGGTGGGTTTATATTAGATCTTCATCTCAAATCTAACCTTTTATTTTTTTAGTAATAGTGACAGAGAAAACCAGCATACTCTTAAGGTACCTACATCAACATTGGGATAAAAAGGTAAGTAAATCTCATTCAACAATCCTTAAGATTTACATCTAAATTTAGGGATTTCAGAAGAAAAGAGATCACATATCTCTCGATAATGCAGACGATTGCAATCAGTCACGGAAAAGGCCTAGAATTGACTGTGTCGGTACACCGTAAGCATTTGGTTTTTCAATAGAAGTATTTATTTTCTTTGTAAGATTTTTATTTAATTCTGTATTTCATTGTTAAGTGTTGAATAAGTTTTCTCGCATAAATTAGTTTATCCCTAGCTCGTAAGGTTTTGTAAAGTATCTACCAATAATGAGGTAGGTAACTTATCCTACTTTGGTAATTATTACTTCCTGGGAAAATTTGGTATTCGATCAAAACATTGTTCTAGAGGTAGGTGCCAAACGGATAGTCACTCATCAAAACTGAAGACGCATTTAAAATTAAATTTGTGTAGCTAAGCTACGATGCTATTTCAAATCATGTTCAAATACCTTGTCGATTTAAAGTAGTTAGGTTATATGTCGAACATGTTTACCTAAAAGAGTACCGACGTATATCTTATAGGATATCGTAAGATTTTATAAACAATTAATGTTAAAATTTGATGTACATGTCTTAAAGTAATGTTATGTAATGTTTAGAGGAATCGACTCAAATATAATATGTTTTACAATCTTTCATATTTCATTCAAAAATATTATTTAGTACAAGGTGAATCAATAATTTTTTCTTTTACTAATTGTTAATTACTGCTGAAATGTCAATTAGCTACATACACTGTTTAGTATTAAGAGGCAGATAAGTAAAGAAAGGGGAAGAAATGGTTTCTACTGAAACCGCTTGGTTCAGCGATAAGTAAAAGAACATGCTTTGTTGCAATGTGAAATTCAATTTTTGTACAGGGTTTTACCAAAGTCTCAGGGTGGAGCTATAACGTTTCAAACGAGTAAAAAAGAAAATCTGAAAAATGAATGATCATAAAAACTACATTCCAGATGGTTTCAAACTTTCGTACACTATGATCATACCTATGCCAAAATTTTTAAATTGCAACCACTGTTGAGTTTTGTCTTATTTTATAATTAAAAAATATGAGAATGTCTGAAAGTAGCACGGTCGAACGGAAAACTGAGATGCTTGGGAAATTTCCACAAGGCTTTCCTCTCAAACCCTCGTCAACTGGTTACAAGCGAACGAATGCAGTAGAACATTTCATTTACATCTTACTTCGTCCAGGCTAAATAACTCTAAAATCATTTATTTAAGAAAAAAAATTAGTTCCCCCTCCAAACTGGGTTTTTCATGTAGGTGAAAAGATTAGAAATTGGCGAAAAATAATTAAAACAGCTGAATTTTTCCGCGGCCGAAATCGGGGCTTGAAAGGAGTGGAAGATGGTACTTGGCATTTTGTGTGGGTCTGTAAAATTGAGCCGTTTCAGAGATATTCATAGAATCGCCAAAGGGGAGAACTGTTTGTCACTGATTCCCATTCCTTCACAAACATACCTTCGTTGTTGTTATCTCTTTTTGGCGCAGCAACCTCAATTTAAAACGCCAATCTGAATCAAACAAAATCTCAATGATGTCAGTTGGTCTGTCTGTCTGTACACTCATTGGCTTTTAAACAGCTGAATCGATTTCAACCTAATTTGATGCACATTCTTAGACATAAAAGGGCAGAATCTCGCATGCGCAGATGTGAGGGTGGTATTTGTGCTATCCACAGCAAATTTTTTTCTAGAGTTCCTTTTTGGATCTTTAATCCTTATTAAAACTGACATACCACATTTGGCAAGTTCCCCAATCAGGAGTGCCTGAGCTACAACTCTGAACAAACTACACAAATTAAGTATTGTATTCATTTTATTTGGAAACTGTTATAAAATGTCCTTACTTAAACTATGTGCCTGTACCAGGAGTACCAGGTGAACCAACCACATCAATTATTTCAGGATTTCCCGATAATTTCGTGCCATCACCTTCAGTAGTTGATGAAAGTAATTGTGGAGGAATAGTCAGTGACTAAAATTCCATTATAGAACCTAAAAATGTAACTGCAAGATTCATACCTTCCCAGGACTTAAGGCTTCGTATTGATGTCTCAGTGATTGTAATTCGAATTCACACGATGTCAGGGCAGCTTTAAGCTCCATATGCAATACCATGTCACTTCTTAATTCGTTAAAATGTTGACAAACATCTTCGGTAGGAATGGGGTTTAGCTCTAAAACCAAAGCAACAAATTGAAAAACTAAATTGTCAGATTTTACCCATTTCCATCTCCTGAAGCAACTGTTCAATTCCTTTTGATTTCTTCTGACCAACGTTAGCTGGTAGCTTCATTCTTTGAGAGCGAAGAGAGACTCCACTATTTTTATAATCTGGAAATTTAATTCCTGCCGTTTCAACAGCCTGTAAAATGTGCTGCAATAGAAACGTTCATGAACCAACCCTTCAAGAGAAAAGTCTCTATAAATCCCTTACACTTGTGTCAATTCGTGATGGACGAGTAGGATTTGCCAATTTCTTTTTCGGTATTTTCTTATCGGCTTTTCGTAAGTGATCTGCTTGATTATCTGCTTGACTAATTAATTTCTGCAAATCCTGGGTTTTGCGCTCACGCTCTTTCTTTCGGGCTTCAATCTTCTTCAGTTCATTTATTAAAAATTGTTCCTCTTCAATCTGCGTGCATTAAACATTGTGACAATTTTACAAAAAAAAAACATTACCTGCTCAGGAGTACGCTCATACAATCGTTTCAATTGCTCCTTTCTTCTTCGTTCATGATCAGCATCATAATGGTACACTTTTCTTTCACCACTTGACTAGAAAAGATAAAGACAAAATATAACAGTTATGCACCATTTCAATTACCTTGGCTAAAATTCCTGAAATTTTATAGTAACGTTCTTTAAGATCTTCAATTGATCGTTTACTAAACTTTTCCGTATCATATCTGTCTGCCATAATTATAAATCGTAAATCAAACCTTCTTGCCAAGTCCATCATATGGTCGGTTTCCTCTTTAGTCCAACCTTCCGTTTGCAAGTGTTGTTGATAAACTGCATCTGTATATGTTGGAATTTCAATTTTCTACAATAAGATGTAGGTACACTACATATAATAGCCGCGATCTATTTTAATTACTTTGTTAAATTTTGCAAATGGATACTCTTTTGGTCCATCTGATGGCCTTCGCCAATGATAAAACACAGCCCCATCGGTTCTCGCTGGATTTGTGAAAGGCATCCACTCCCATTTTCTTGGTTTGCGCATTCCCAATTTAATTTTAGTTTGCTTATATCCGTTACTAGTATCTGAAGGGAATAACGGTGGTGCATCCTTTGTGTCATTATACAGCAAAGCGTACACTTCGCGATGCATTCCTTCAGGTCGTTTTGGGGCCTTCGTCGCAGAAAATGTACGCCTTTTTAGTTTATCTGGTCCGATAATGGATTCTCGTGTTATTTCTGGGGTTACAGGTTGATCCAATTCCATTATATCTCGTACATCTACCATTTTTGGGAAGGTCTATTTGTCTTGTTAATATCGAGCAAACTGTTACTTGGGATGAATTATTTAAATAAAATTACTGTTACGATGCTATTTATACGCAGAAAATACTGTTTTGTTGGTTTGTAGTTAAAAGATTATTTGTTATTTTTCTTTCGCAAAGTGAGGTTATGATCGTACTTTCAGCTGGTGACTACTTCTTATACCAAGAAATGATTTATACACATATATGCATTTCTTATACTATTTTATAGACATTTTAATTAATATAAATTTAAAATTACGCCGAAAAGTTATAAACTGTGACACAACCAATGCGATTTTACCACCCACTGACCCCCACGTTAGTAAGGGAGGTATTGCATTGGGGTACAAAATGGCCCCCCAGCCCCCACTGTTTTGACGGAAACACACATTTTGAAGCACTAGGAATCCGAATCAAACATTTCGATGATGTCAATCGGTCTGTCTGTACCTACTCTCATTTCCGGCTAAATGGTTGAACGGATTGGAATCAAATTTGATACAGATATTCTTAAACATAAAAGGGCAGAATCGCGAGTGCGGAAGGTATCTGTGCGCAGAAATCTTTTTGATGTGTATTTTTAACACATAGGGCCGGTTGCACAAATGCAGTTTGAACCTCGCTTGGAATTAACCAGTGGATTAAGATCTAAGATTGCTAATTAACTAATCAGTTGCCTTAATCCATTGCGTTAATCTAAACAAGGTTTAAACTGCCTTTGTGCAACCGGCCCTGAATTATTCGGCATGTCAATTATGTAACACAACAGGACAACAAATTATGCAGCTTAGTAGTTGACCGTGTCGTTATACAACCTCCCGCTTAGGATGGAGCAACCGTCCCGAGCAACATCCTACTCATACACGTGAATATTTTCTAGTTTCTTTGGGCGAAGGGGTTTAATGGATAACGTATATAGGGGTGATTACTGATTGATGTTCTTGAAAGCAGTTAGTGCTGAGGTGTGATACGTGCCCAATGATATAGCCGTTGTCTAGATTGAGTCTATTTGGATCGTGCATGGAAAGGGATATACTCGTTTAACAATCACGTACAGTCCGCCTCGTTTGGGGTAAACTTTGCGGTGTACGCGGTTTGTTTCAGAGTGGTAGGATATTTTCAAAGCTACAATGATGTAACACTACCAAAGCAAGATGGTCAGAACGACCCTTAGGAACTATAAACAAAGTATAAAGTATATCCGAAACAGATGGCAATAACAAATTTTTGTCGATGATGCTTACGTGAATCATTGTAAAAAAGAGAGCTCTCACTAAAACAAGACACGAGAGAGTTGCCTTTGAAAGATTTTTTTTTTAAATAAAAAGGGGTTTATAAATTTGACAGACCCAGTTACAGCTCAGAATTCTGACTTGAAACGCTTAATTTTGTCTTGTAAACTGAGAATAATTACAACTAACAACTCGCAACTTAGAATTCTCAGTTGCAATGGAATTATAAAAAGTTAACAGTTAAGGGGTTAAAGGTTTTTGAAAACAAAGAAAAGAATGGAAAAGCAAGTCTCGGACTGTAAAATGAATTAAGTAATATTAATATGAATTTGTGAAGATCACATGATACAGTATTCGTTTCAAGTGATTTAACTAAGTTAAATCAGTTTAAGTGATTGCACTTTGTTTTTTTTACAATCTTAGACCATAGTACACACAAAAAACAAATCATTTCAATGAAGCAAATTTTGCGTTGACCGAAGCACATATATGTTTGGATAGGGCCAACTACATGTGTATTTCAGTCTAAGTGACAATATATTTAGGCTATGATGCAAATTTTTATTAACTCAGACACAAATCAAATTGATTTAACAATTAATTTGGTTTAAGTGAAAAACCTATTCTTTCTGCTAACCTCGCAATTTATTTGGTTTAAATACATTGCGCCTAAATTGAAAGTATCGACGTGTTTGAATTAAAAACCATATTCTAGATCAAAATTTAAAAATATTTAAGGTAAATATATCATGCCTGACTAAACAAAACTTAAAAATTGTTCAACCCATACTGTGAATTGAAGCAATTATTAAATATTTAGCCCAAAAGCTACATATTTCTTATTCGACATGCGTACAGTTGAGACTAAATAATATTTTGGTGACGCAAATATATCATTCTTTCATTTAAATATTGTGCTGTTAAGGGGAATTTCCGTAATATCCACAATATAAAAAATTAAATACATAATAAAAATGCAATATGAATATAATTCATTTATTCAGAACTTTTTAGAAACAAATCAGAACCCAGTCATAACGTACGGGGTTTTTGGTATCTAGAGGGCCAAAATCGTAATTTTTACTTTATTTTCATACAACCTTTTATTTTGGCTCTCCATATAGTTACCGGGTACCCTATGTACAAGAAATAGATATAGGTAAGTATAAAAACTTAAAAATATAAAATTCCACATATGATAAAGGAATAAGAACTTACAAAATATTCTCTCAGAAGTACACTTACATAAAAACGGCAGGTAACTTAAAAATATAAAACAAAACCAAAACACTCAGGATGAAACGCACTATCTACGCACTTGCAAGAAATTTTTTCGGTGTCGCAACGCAAAACTTCGAACGTGTAAAGAGCAACCGAGGGGGAAATATTTATGCACCCATGCAATTGAAATGAATTCATTTCATTCCAGAGATTTATTTAGTTACTTAGCTTAAAACGTCAAGTTTTTTATATTAAATACAGGAAAAGTTAAATTCATGTACTGGTTTATTATGTTACACAAATGAACAACATGTTTAAGCGAATTGTATGGATATTTATGTGAAACTCCTCAAAGCAAATTGCTTGAGTCAAATATAATATTTTTGAATCAAAGTTAATCAAAGTCAAATATTTTGTGACGAAACATCAATTACATCGATTTATTTGAGTCAAAATAATTATTTTTGATTTAAATCTAATTTGATTATTTTAAATTAGTCTTTACTTCTTTTAAAGAAATACGGGTCAAATACATGATGAATTTGTCGTTAAAGTACGATTTTTTTCTGTGTACATGGCTATACTTATGGTCTAAGATTGTAAACGAAAAAAATCACTTAAACTGATTTAACTTAGTTAAATCACTTGAAACGAATACAGCTTAACAAGTAGTTAGTTAAAGTTTCCACGGCAAAATGCGTCCGCCGGATATATGTCCTGTAAATATACTTTGTTACATATATGATATGATAAGTAGCATAATATGTACACTTATCATATCAAACTGTTTATACTTTATTCCCATGATAAGTTTAATGATCTGTTTCCTAAGAATGGTAATTAAGAGATTTGATTAAACTCAGTAGCAGCTATAGGTGACGCAAGATATCCAAAACCTATCCTATAATCATTTTATGTAAGTGCTCATTTAGTCCAAAAAAATAACAGCCTTGTGCACAAATGAACTAAAAATGTCCTCCATATAAAATATGAGACGAAGTTAATGTAACTAATTATGAACCACTCTCAATAGCTAGATTAAATTGTTTTTGGAATTCTTTGAGAAAGTGTACCTACTTACTGATTTAACAGAAAATGTCAATTTCTAGTTCTATGCCGAAACCAACTGAAGCAAACTTATATTTATTAACTTGCAATTTCAATTTCAAAGACTTCAAGCATTGATTGTGTTATTAAGCGTACATTCCAAATATAATTTCATTCAAGTAATTAAGCTATCGTAATCATATCATGCCACTATAATTTGCGAATCAATACGCAACTGTACAACTATTGTTTAAATACTTTAAACAATGCTACAACTATGTGTATGGGGTACCGAAGGGATTCAGTTTTTGGTTCAATACTTTTTTATTTACATTAACGATTTAAGTTTTGCAATTCATATTTTCAACTAACTTTTTTATTTATTATTATCTTAGATAATTTCAAATGGTCACATTTGCAGGTAATAGTGATATGAAAATAAATAAATTAAATTAAATTAAATTAATAAAGTAAATAAAATAAAATCAAAAAATATTAACAAGATAAAAATAATTATTTTGCATTATCATAAAAATTAAAAAAGTATTTTAAATTATCTTAAAAAAGAATGATTTAAAATTATTGTCAAGATAAATTTAAATATTTAATCATCATTAATATTATAGAAATATTAACAAAATTTTACTATATACTGGATTTTCCCCCGCCACTTCGTACGCTCAATAGTGAGGGATATATGATAACGAAAATCCAGCGTACAGAATGTAAAAATGTAAACACACGGGCACGATACGACACAAGTGGGTTGAGGCATCCGAAATAGCAGAGTGCGACATCAACGAAAACAGAAGTTTTTTTTAATACCATAATACTATAACCCCTCCAGCCGTTCAGGAGCAGTTTAGGCACAAACACACGTACAGAAGAATTTTATATACAGGGTGTCCCTAAAAGGTCTGTACAACGCGCTACCAGGGGTTCTTGGTATCAAAATAGGACGATTTAAGCCTACTTACCTCTATCCAAAAGTGCTTCGTTAAGGCGCTATTTGCCGCCAAAGATTCAAAAAACAAATGGTTATTTTTATTTTATCGGAAAATGGTTTTGCCGATTAAAATGAAAGTCGGGATGTGAATGTCTAATGTAAAAAGGGTCTTTGTGATATCATCGTTTTGATTGTAGTTGCTATGTAGGTGGTAAAATACTGACCATCCACATCTGAAGAGGTCTAAAACTTTTTAACTACTATTTTGACAATTCTGAATTTTTAGACACTGATAGACAGTTTACTTGCAAGCATTTTTTGTCTCTTGATGAATATCGCTATCTGTGATGGTTTACGAAAAAAAAAAAAATTTAGGCATGATGAATCGCATGCACCATACATGCGATTGTTCCTCAAAAAATCAGAAGATGGCTGTTAAACCTTAGAGTGGCTTAACGTTTGTTTGTTGTTTCTTAAACTTTAACAATTTACGTTTTGCTTGAAGACTTAAAACTTTAAAAAATAACGTACCAATGTTGCAAAGGGCACAGTTTAATTTATTACGCCGTATAATGCTTTGTATGCGTGAAAATGGTGGTCCCTTTGAACATTTAGTACGTTTAAATTAATACATTACATTGACTTACTCTGTTGTGTTCGTTTATTCTACATTACTTGCTTGCACTACGGTTTCATAGCCTACTTCTTGCTTGCACTTATGGTTTTTGAGGAACAATCGCATGTATGGTGCATGCCATTCATCATGCCTAAATTTTTTTTTTTCGTAAACCATCACAGATAGCGATATTCATCAAGAGACAAAAAATGCTTGCAAGTAAACTATCAGTGTCTAAAAATTCAGAACCGTCAAAATAGTAGTTAAAAAGTTTTAGACCTCTTCAGATGTGGATGGTCAGTATTTTACCACCTACATAGCAACTACAATCAAAACGATGATATATCACAACACAAAGACCCTTTTTACATTAGACATTCACATCCCGACTTTCATTTTAATCGGCAAAACCATTTTCCGATAAAATAAAAATAACGATTTGTTTTTTGGATCTTTGGCGGCAAATAGCGCCTTAACGAAGCACTTTGGGATAGAGGTAAGTAGGGTTAAATCGTCCTATTTTGATACCAAGAACCCCTGGTAGCGCGTTGTACAGACCTTTTAGGGACACCCTGTATAAAGAAAAAGATAAAGTTATCTTGGATAATGTTCTTGTACCTACTTTACGTTAAAACTCCCTGCGAAATTTGTAAGAGGAAAGGGCCATTTTAAACTCTGTATACGCGCAGGAATGATCCGAATATTTATTAATAGTATAGTCCCAGTAATCCGTGAGGTAAATAATCCCGAGTAATAAGGGTATTGCAGTCGAATAGTGAAGTCTATCCCTTGGCTAAAGATTAGGCGAGACAGTGTGTAAATCTTATGGAATAAGATTCAATGGGAACTTTCGCTTAAATTTATACTCAAATCGTTTGCCTTGCAAATTGTATGCGAGAATGAAAATAATATAATCGGTGAAGTGTAACGAAAAGCCAATGCAGGAAGATTACTGTAAATCAGCAAATCTTAAAACTGCAATTATCGTTCAACTCGGTACCGTTTCATAATGATAGTGTGAAATTTGTATGTGGGGTTAATCGGCGCCAAGCATAATGGTACCCCCATTCGATTTCCTTAGATCTAATATTTCTGAATGAGAGTCGTACAACTATTTGAGAACAGGTGGCAAATAATGATGTAAAAAAGGTGTGCAAGTATTGGTATGTAGGCTGCGGGTGCATACCCGAAGGCAAAATGCCAATCTTGAGAGGACACCACGTAGGCCCCTCCAACCACCGCGGATTTCCTCACGTTGCTTGTCAACCTACAGCAGGTGCGAATAATCGGATGAAACCTTCGTTTATTTTCGTTAATTGGAAGGGCTACGGTAATGCAATATTGCTATTGATCACAATCAAGTTCACCACGAACCGAAAAAACTACCCCTTCCTTTTTCACGCTCGAAATTTTGGGCAACCAGTGCAAGAACCCACAAGTGATCAAATTCGGTTTTTTCTCGAACCGGTACAACCTCTTGTTGTAGTTAGCAGCAGGTGAACGGGTTGGCGGGGACAGGTAAGTCGAAACGAGAGAGTTGGGCTCAGCAGCTGAATGTCCACAACATGGCCACGATTCTTCAATACATTCGAGAACGCGCGCTGTGTGTATAGAAACACCGTTAACGCGATCGCAAATAAACACGGTGCGCGCTGAAAATATGGTAACCGTTGAAGTGTTTTATTAAAAAAATATAAAAATTGGTTCGTCTTAATTTGCAGGTAGTTAATATGAAAAAGTGTGGGTGTTAGTAATTCGTCTGTTGCCTAACAGGAAACAAGCAAAGTAAAAATACCACTTCTTAGGATTTTTTTTTCGAAAATATAATCACCGTACTTTCCTTAAATTCCACGTGTGTATGGTGAGAATTTAACACATAACACAACTTTAATGATAGATTAGACTGCAAACCTTCATTTACCATTTCAATCGCACCAAAAGAAACGTAGATCGGGGGTAGACAATAATTTCAAAAAACCTCTAATGTAAGATTTTCTGAAAATATAAAGTACCGTTCTGATTAAGAGGCATTTAAATGCGTTTTTGAGTAACTTTTGGGCACGCTCTAATATTTTGTTTACAGTTATAACAATTAAGCGTAATAACCGAGACCTTCAATTCAAAACTGTACTATAGGCATGCTTAAAGACACGTTAAAAATTTACACATAATTACCCCGCGACGTACTTAAAAAGTCGCGAAGGTAATTAGACGCCTCAAACATCAGTAGTGCGGTAAATACCCAATTATAAACATTGTAGTTTATGTGCCTGGTTACGTGAAGGGAGAAATTTTAAAACTATTCTTTCTTTGTACACTAAATGGATTTCTAGATTTCACAGCTTGAGAAAGTGGACTAAATGAATCACGTCAATTCTTAAATAAAACCAATTTACTTTGAGGTTTATTAACCACAACGACATTAAATATTGCAAGAGTATAACATTCATTAGAAATAAGAAATTTTGGAAAAAGAAACAAAACGTCTTTTGCCTTTTGGTTAACTGTGGAACAATGTGGGTATGCATCGTCAAATTTTCGCGGTTGATGCTCCTTTGGTCCTGGTTCATAAATGTAACGGTATGAACATAAAAGAAAATCGCTACGTAATATTATTCCCACGTGATTATGCTAAAATGTGCTTTTCATTTATTAAAGCTACCTATCTCTAGTTAAAATGTATTTCGATTTAATGGGTACGCTTACGCACCATTCCGAATTGTAGAACGAAAGATATTATTTACAATGAATTTATTCACCAATTTCGTGGCGGAAACAGCGAAATCATTGTTTTGATGCACTTCCTATTTTTATCATAGTGGTCAAATTTTTTCTAAGTAGATTATGACGTATTACCTACAATAGAAAATTCATTTCATAAAAACACGCGTATTTTCAGTTAGAAAACGCAACTTTACTAATAGATGAGGTATGAGATGAAGTAATTTACATAATATTGGTTGTATAACATCGCGCGGCACGAAATTTCCCTTCTAAATCAAAGTGTCCATTTCCTCAGCATAATTTAAACGGAGATGTGTATGATTATGTAATAAATGCTAATATAACTTGAAATTTTCAGAGTTAATTCAGGAATGAGACATAAGAAGTAATCCATTAAAATCCTATAAATAAATTTAACGCCCGAGTAAAAATATTAATCTTAAGCTGCTTTCCAATTCTTACTTTCAAGAGAAAAAATGTAATTTAACGGCTAATTAGTTTGAAAATTCATTACGTTTAATTGAGGAAGACAATAAAAAGATAAGTCTTTAATTTTAATTTAATTACGATAGCTTAGAAAATAGGGCAGTTATATGCTCACTTAATGCATGCTCTTTATTCTTCATCATCTTGTTACTAATCGAACCCGTTTCTTTTGGTGAATGGAATTTTTACTTTGCAATGGTATCAGTTCGTGTTTTTTTAGCTCTGCGAATGATGGTCGGCTAAATGTCAACGAAAATGTTGCAAAATTCGTACCACAATAAATACAGACCGAATTTTTACGAGAGTACGTGCTTGAGGTGCAATGAAACTGTGTATCAGGTGGATCGAGTGGGACCATTGAAAGACTTTTCGTTTTTTCATAGTGGATGTTTTAAGTGCGCGATTTGTGGGACCAAGTTGACTTTAAAAACCTATTACAATAATCAACATCGACAAGAGGACAAAGAGGTTTATTGCAATAGTCACGTGCCTAAAATAGGACCAGGCCATTTAGATGGATCTTCGGTTGTAATTAGATCGGCGCTAAATGTACCAAAATCGAGTAATTTTGTAAACGAACAAATTCGTGGACCTGGAAGGGGAGCATATGACGTTGAAGGTAAGTTTTATCTATATGACTTTCCATATGATTTCCATTAAGATTAAGATTTAAGATAGCCTCCTCTAAAATCATATGCTGTAAATATTCCAGATTTTAATATAAACGATTAACGTTATTAAAAGTATCTGTTGAAGAAGGGTTTGTACTGAGCCTAAAATACTATCGTTCGGATATCTGCGTAACTTATTTTTTTGTCAGACACAAAGTTGGAAGTCAATGATTTAGATGGAAGTGGTCCCAATTTCTGTGGAGAACGGAGATAGCAAATTTCACTGGGAATCTGATTTCGAAAAAAAAGTTTGGAAGCATAGGAGATTAGCGTCCGTTGTCCGACATGTGCAAAATGAAAAGCGTCTACTTTTCTAACGCCATTAAAGTTTCTTGGACATTTTGTAATGATGAAAAATAATATGAACAATTTTCTGCTCGGGTTACCGACTGAATACGATAGCGTACCTATACGCCTTCTACGCCTTACCGAAATCGAGGTATCAACCTGTAATAATTTAATCTATGATGCAAACATAGGTGGATAGTGTTACAATAAACAGGAAATCGATGTCGTTTTCATTAAGCTGGATTACGTACTACAACAAAAGGGATCGCGACCTTCTACTAACGAGATCAAAAAAGGAAAACGTTAAGCTGTCTTATTACTGACAGATCGATCTCAATTTCATTTGCGCTCGCTTGATGTAATTATTCATTTCGTGCCTAATTAATTATGCTTTCTGAAAATTGCCCATTCACTTTGTCTTTGTGTCTAAAGTGTGCCGTTAATTAGTAGTTCGGTAATTAAAAAATGATTCGGCATGATTTGGTTCATAAATACACTTTGCCTTTACCTTTAATGGAAACTAATAATGGCTCTTATAGTTTAATTATACTTTTAGGGTACCTTGATTGCTACTTTCTATGTAGGTATACGATCGACCTAAGTAGAGTATTGAGTTGCTATTCCTATTAGGATATTCAGGGCTCTTATCATGTTGTAACTTATTACTAGTTCCAGATCACCTACTAAACTAGAGCTTTCGTTATACAGAGAGATTCTTTTAAGAGGATACATACGTACAGTTTCCTTACGAATCTGTCAAATGGGCCACCTCTAACCAAGTAAATTTTGGTGAATTAAACACGGGCATATATATAAAACCTCGTACAAATCGTAGATATAAATAAAACTTGATTCAACACAACATCGAAAAATGAAAAACCTTCATCGCTGTTAGGTATGCAAATTGTCGATTTTCTCAAGTTGCCGGTTAGTGCTAAACGGTGGTGTCGAGGAAACTTATGGAGGTTAACAGTATTCTAATTGAAGGTATCAAAAAACTATTTCCTACCGAACCCACTACTTCTTTTCTCCCTTATCCTTACCCCTTACCGAGTGTCGGAGGAGGTACTCACAACGGGCGATTGGAACGTAGATTTTGATTGTGTGCTAGGCGGACTTGAAAGGTATATGTGTAAAGAACGTTAAACATCAATAGCTCCTTATTATAAGCCAATAATTGAGTAAGCTAAATATTTCGATTTAAAAAATTGCGTTTTGTCTGTACAAGAGTTGCATAATTTATACTTGTATTATTTTGTGTTTCAACTTGTAAAAACATCTGTGAGAGCTTTTGGTTGTAAGTTGTTTGTAAATATTGCAGCGTGACGGCGGATAAAAATGGAATGTTAAAGAAATTTCGACGAATGCGTCACGGTGCGTAGGTGTCCATTGATTAAACGACGAGTCACCAGAACCGTCATAACTTATTCTCGTAAAAGTTTACAGTTTATGGAAGTTTTTAAGCGAATTTTTAAATACCTACTATAAAAGTAGATCCATGACATGCTGCAATAGTAGTATTTGTTATAAATGCGTATACCTATATAGCAAATATTAAATTGCGGCGTTAAAACACGGATGTGTCGAATTGAATCCATCCGAAGACATTCGGAAATGTGATTTTGTTTCTGATAATACTTTTTTGTTCTCGAGTTTTTTAAAAATAAATTTAAATATATACCGTTTGTTTAAAATCCGCAAGAAATCCATTCTGTTGGGGTCATTTAATGAAATTGGGCAAGCAAAACGGTCGATCAACTGGAGTAGAAGAGAGCAAACACGCAGTGAAGATACAATGTTCACTAAAAATCGATTTCATGAAGCAAAATATATTTTATGAATTGATATAAAAGCGATAGTCGCTTTAGAAAATAAAGTACCTAATTAAAAGGACGTTCAGGGTAGTAATGCAACGGATGTGTTATAACGGAAGCAGAAGCGGAAACAGAAGACGTACCGTCCCGTTCGACCAATCAGAGTGCACAGTGCACCTTGCCATTGAAGGCGGAAGTGAAACAATGTGCAGAACTTCCGCACTTGCGGACCGGCAGCAGAGGACTACTGCATCACTAGTTCAAAGATGGAAAAGTGCAACACCAATTAAGTTAAACATATGGATAATTCCATTGTATTGTAGTGATCTTAGGCGTCCCCCCAGCCGCCACTGCAGTCTTGACTTCAATCTTGACTCAATCAATGAAATCAATCAATCTGTATTAGACGCCAGCTAGGCGAAAATGTTTACAATTTAACTTATAACAAAAACAACATCAAAATGGCATGGCTATACTCCAGTATCGACTAGCATTAATTAAACACGAAAAGTACAAGTGAAAATAGAAGCAGTGGATAAGTATTCATGTAAAAGTCGATCATCTCACACTCAGACCCGACAAGCTAAACCGAAGAGAAATTAATTTGAGAATCTCCCCTTTCTCGTATTGCTTACACACCGTCCGACAGCGGGCACGAGAGAGAGAACAACATACACAGCGAAGAATCGGAACCGAGATCGGAACAGTATGAGGTACTTCCTTCGCGGAAGAAACGATTAGTTGAATCGTACAGGGCAACAACACACTGATAATATACTCCCACATGAATAGATAAATGAATAATTAATAAAATAATATACATGCATAATCATCTGTACAGTATAGCAAACAAACGTGATTTAGGTATCTATAAAAAAATCTGGGAGCACGCCATGCTTCATTAAATAAATAAGATTCAATGTACAATGTAAATAATAACAAATTGTGAGTTGAAATTCAAAGATAGATTAGTACAAGAGAGAATAAAATGATTACTACCTGTAATTACGCTTTTCACTCTGTAGTGTGAATTATGTGATAGTTGTCTCCTTTGGTACCGGTACCAACACGTTTTGGGATAAAAAAAACTCCCTACACTGCTAAAAATGTACGAGCAATATTAATTCTGCTCGAGTCGAATCGACGCAATTTTTTATATAACGATCTTAAACACAACAATTTGATTTTACAACCGTGGATAAATATCCCAATTCAAAATCCGTAAATATTCACGTTGTAACGCTCAGCTTTACAAAAAGCTGTTCGGCAGGTAATATTCTCATTAGATGTCTTTGAAATAAATTAGCTAAATAAATGTGGGCACAAAACATCGTTAAATTCCTTCAATTGCTGATTCCGTTTCAAAAATGATCGAATTTAATTGTAGATAAGGCAATTACCCACTTTTAAAATAATGAAGTCACTTAGGTATCTACAAAAAAACCAATTACGATTGCCAATTATGTACTTTCATTGTATCAATTGAAGGTCAATTTTCAATAAGTTAACATTAAATTTGATTGCATTTTTCAATTATTTTAATTCAATTATCTGCGCTTCAATTCATTTCACACCTTACGAGGTGCTAACCGCCTAATCGTTACCATTTTAGTCGCGTTTTTTACGACAGACAGGGACTTCCGGCGGGAGAAAAATATACTACTCGGACCCCCACGGCGTATTATTCTTCATTTTATGGGGAAATCGCTTAAATAAACGCATCAAAAATGAACATAAAAACCTTCACACCTATATCACAGATTTTTGTTAATTGTTGTTTTTATTTTAGTTATTTACTTGATACTAGTGGCTAGTGTGGTCCAAGAAGAGGTCCAAATAAGAACCCTATCGAATTTGGAGTCACAGGTCACAAAAGTATTGTTAATTTAATGCTCCGATTTGATAACATTAGTTTAAAAATGTTTTAAAGCCCGTTTTACATGCTGAAAGTTATTTCATTTATTTATTTATTTATTTATTATCCCTCTCATGTACTGAGAGCCCTCAACAGGCTTGCGCCCAATTACAGAGTGACCCGCATAATGCTTTTTAGAAGTGCCTCTGCAGAAGGTCTTAAGTTGTTCTATGCGACTCCGGTACCTTACGAATTAGAGAAACTGCAGGAAAACCTAATTCGGAGTAGCCGGTAGAATGCTCGGAACTGGTCTAAGGTAATTTCCATCTCTGCCACAGATGAAAAATTCATGGCACTGATCTATGATATAAAAATAGTAAAAAGAACTTTTTGATATCTACTGTGTTTTATATCCATGATAAATTTCTGCAATCCATATACTATAGTTAAGATGGAACCTTCTTGTATATGTATGCGGTTTGTTAATATTCTGGTATGTTTTATATTGTTGATATGCTTCATATTGTTGACAAGTGTAAATACCTTCTAAGGCGTAATGCATAATTCAATCAAACAACTATTGATTTTGGCAAGATGACGGTTGATGCCGAGTTGAATTTAGTCTTTTATAATTTCTAATATATTACCCAGTTGGTTGATACTCATTTATCATCAATACTTTCCCCTTTTTGTGAATATTTTATCACGAATGATATTGAACTACAAATGTCTCAACTCTAAACAAAACTTTGAATGATAGGCATTTGAGAACAAATTTAAGTTGAACAAATTGTTTACTGTTTTTATGCGGTCCATTTAGATTTTATAGAATACATATTCTAGTATGGGTCTATTTTCCTCAAAAAAAGTTAATCTGAGGCTTGGTCCATCTAATCTAAAGATATCAATTACCATACCATCCCTATATAGGTATTACGAAAAAAGAAAAGGGCGATTTACATTATATAAAATGTGTATAAGCTAATGAAGTAAATACGAAATCGTGTAGTTAGAAACTAATTTAGCTATCTGCACCTATCATATAGAAAGTGGTTTTCCACACTTTGTGTACAAAATGTAACTTACCGGTTTTTTCGTGTTGCTAGAGCTAGACTGTTTGTGTACATACTAATAGCACTTTCTCCTTTATTAGGTACAGAAATTAAGCTTTAGTTTCCCCGTGTAACTCGCAGGAACATTATGTTAACCATATGTAAGAATGTAATTATTTTATTGTACGACAACAAACCCATGCTGTCTGTAATAGGTACCCTTTTCTAATAATGATATTATTTGTAGGTTTAAACATTCGGACGCACGTTAATGGCAATTCACATGCTTCTTCAGGACACGGGGATCGGAATAAACACACATACAGCCCCAATTCGTATCCTTTAAATAACCATTCGGATTCACCTGGTTACCAGTATGGGAGATTCGATGCTAGTGCCCTTCACATCGCACACGCGCTTAAACAAACCGAATTGCAAAAGGCTTACAGTAGGCCAAGAGAAAAACCCTTGGACTGCTACCTGGTGAGTGGGCAATTCTATTTTAATGTTAAGGTTAGATCTAGTGCAAATTGCATTGATTTGCGTGAGAAAATGCGTTCGATCGAATTCCCCCCATTAATAACAAATCTTGGTTGGGCAAAAGGTTATACATTTTTATTCTATTGCTTCATACACGATTAAAGAAAAATATGTATATCTTACATTCCTTACATACTTATATACGCATTACAAAATCGGAGACTTAAACGATCGATGACATAAGAAACCTCTATTACTGTTTTTCTCATCGCGAGTTAGCTAATCCGCGAATTATAATTATTTTATTGTTTATTAATTCTCACAGTGTTTTACGATAATAACGGGGATGTTAATTTACTTCCGTATTAGCACAATGCATGTAATTGCACTGTAGAGCGCCCGAGCGTAATTAGAATTGCATTTGTTTTAGTTATTCCTGCTAACTGTAAGCAGCAGATGATTACCCCTCACTTATTTAGTCATAGTTACTTTTGATTAATTTCAACGCATAATCATCTCGATTTATATATCCGTTACCTGTTTATAATACGGTAACAGTTAAACGTGCTATGGGAAATTGAACGATACATCGGCACAAACAATTAGGTGACCGTTTAAAATTTATATTTCCTAATTTTTGTAGAATCGAGAATAATAAGAAGTAAGGCAGTACGCTCATTAACTTTAATGAAGATTTTTATTACGTGCTATTTAAGAAACAATGTAGTTTTTTCTCATTGCTTATGTACAACGATGGATGTGTATAATTTAGTTGCAGTGGACCAAATCGAGTTTGCTATTATCTTTTTCAAAGGCAAAAAAAACGTGTCTCAACGTAGTTTAGAATTTTAATTTAGATTTTCATTGAAAATGCAGAAAGAAACCAGAAGTCTTCGTAAATGCTAAAAACGTACTTACTTCCTTTATTTCTGCTCTGGTAGTTATCTATGGGTACTTCAACTTCTTACTCCGTGCGTTCAATTTGATTAAATGCGTATTGTTATAACATTGCTTTATAACTGTAATTATATAATTACGAATAGTAATCAGCTTAATCTGCATTTGCATATATGTGAAGGTTAACGCTCATTGTATTATTGAAATACATTCACAGATAGGAACCAACGTTAAAGGTTATTCTAGTTTTTTGGTAATGAAACTTTTTACTTTCTGTCCTTTCACAACTGCCATTATTAATGAACTTTGAAGTAGATCCTATAGTAACAAGTTACCAGACTTTTTTGATTGATAACGATGCGATTATTACCTATATATATTAGGTTTATATACAATATACCAGCATGCTCACATTTCTCAAAATATCTTGCCGCAATTCTTTTTTATCATTGGAAAAATTGTCTTCCTCATTGTTTTGAGAGTTTACGACAAACGATGCTACATATCAATATTTGGGGTATAGATCTATAGATGAAAAAATATCAACTAAACAACGTAATTCTTTCATCCGCGAGACGAGACTATATTCTTAATCGACTAATTAATGTAAGTAAATTAAACAACATTTCTGAAAAAATGTTAGAGAGGTGCAGGTGGAGAAGCTTGGAAGTAATAATATACGCTCATAACCTGGCTCATACAATGTATCAAGCTTTCTAAAAAACAATGGTTGATGGAGAAATCAAGCATTTTGACGTATTCCCAAAAAATGAATCAAACCCACACTTCCGTGGGCCATGCCAGCTAACTCCAAATAGCAGAGTGGTAGAAAAAAGTTTTTCGATGATAGTTGCACATCTATAGTAGTGACATAAGGTCAGATACTGAGCAGCAGCGTGATTCAGCTGCGTAATTGTTACTGTTGGTACTGTTAGTCCAGGGAATAGAGGGTTTTAATTTGCAAAATGAGAAGTAGTTCCAATTTCTTTTGCTTGTCATAGACAGTCATCTGGTGGTTAAGAATCTAAATTTTCGACCTTCCACCCCTTGTGCTTCCCCCGTACCACCCCCAAAACCCTTGAAATTTGGTTGGTTTCTTAGTTTTTCAATCATATCTTTTTATAGGACATAGGTTCACTTTACAAAAAATGATCAAAGTCCTCGTGTGAGATCGAAGGGACTTCAGCGCATTTTTGTGTGGCAGATCAGTGTTTTATTAGCCAATATTGACTCCACAATCAATAAGATCTTGCCGAAAGCTACCATGTTCACTTTGTCGGTACCATTTTCTCACTTACCGTGCACTCGCAATTCGCGTTTGAAGTTTTGACTCCACCATCATTAAAATCCTTTGGGGGTTACCATATTCCCTTTGTCGACACCCACTTTTGATCACCCGCAACAATTCGGATTTGAAGTTTCGACTCCACCATCAGTACGATCTCGTCGGAGGTTACTACATTCCCTTTGTCGATACACAGTTCCGACGTCCCGTTCATTCGTAATTCACATTTTGGTAGATTTCGCTAAAATCCCGGCATAAAATCGTATTCCACTTTTGGGTACTTCACATAGCTCGACCTTCTATTAGTGACACGAGAAAGAGAGACCGCGATTCGCGCTGTAAGAAACTTTTGGGCGCCCAAAGTCGACTACCCCTCGAAGCGCGCCGCGCAAAAGGTGGTTTATTTCGCCCCTAGGAAAAAAAAACAAAATTCCGCCACGCAGGAGTTGTGCGCGTTGACAAGATCTTCTCGACGACACCAATTTGAAAACAATCGGAGAAAAACTGTAGAAGAAGATAGATAAAAACTGAAAAATCTCCAGGTTAGTATAATACGCTCGGGGATGGCGTCCAGATGTCGTCGACTCCAAATCTTGTAGCCCCACCCTAACGTTCTTAATTACACGGCCCCGATAGTTACATGTACACTCCTTGTCTTTTTACAAGCGTTTTTCTACGGGCGCGCATTTACTGCCAGCCAGCCAGCCAGCCAGCCGACCAGCCAGCCAGCCAAAGTGAAATTAAAAGCTACTTTTTACAAAAAAATTTTTTGCAAAAATGCGCTAAAAAATATTGTTATTAGAAATTGTAGATCACAGAATTCGACACAACTTTGACATAAATTACTTTTTTGTGAAATGTTTATTAAAAAAGATATAGAGCTTCAAAGTTTGCTTATATATTTATATTTTTAAGAATTCTGAAATTTCTATGTAGATGTTTTAACCAAATTTTATACTTTATCTCTATAATTAAAAATTTTATGAGAAAATATCTTGAACTTATTGTGGTATAAATCCCGCGACCCTGCACCCTTACCAAAGCGGATGCATAATAATTCAACTTTGAACCCTTGCTAGTGGGGATATTTGAATCACTGTGAGATTGTAGCGCTTTCTAATATACGTGTGTTGTTTGTTTCACTTCACTTCAGTTCAGCTTCCCCAACAATATTTTTTTGTAAAGTGAAAAAGTGAACCTATAAAAAGATATGATTGAAAAACCAAAAAACCACCCAAATTTCTTTGGTTTTAGGGGTGGTGCAGGGGAAGCACAAGGGGTGGGAGGTCGAAAACTTGGATTCTTAACCACCAGATATTCCTCCATGACATGCAACTAAAATTGGACCTACTTCTCGTTTTGCACGAAATGGTCCATTTATCGATGTTTACCTACTTGCTAGATGATTAATGGGGAGGGGACATAAACATTTAAACATCGCTTGGCATACATTCAAAATCCTCCTCAAAACCTACGCTATATAATGCAAGAACAAGTCCTTACAGAAATTATCCTAAATATTGTCTTTTCTGAAACATTTTTGAGATAGTCACAATTACATTTTGACATCGCCAGAAGATGTGTCATTTAGACCATCTTTCCGCCCTTTGAGAGAACCCTCCTCCGACACTCTGTTCTGCAGATAACAAACTGACACTTCGTTTTCAAGATATTCGTTTCGACTTCACAAATAGATATGTCTCGTCCAGACGATTCATAAACAATGGGTATATTTCTTAGCCATTAATTAGAATACCCTGAAAGATATAATTTCTCCCCCCCCCCCCCTCGTCAAACGCAAACAATAGCACATTTGTTTTTATAGTTCTTAAAAAAGTGCGCTAGAAATAACAATTTGTTTGATTTCATCGAGTTTACGAGCGAGTTTACTTACCTAGAAAGTCTTACTTCATTTTACGACCTTTAGGGTTGATCGTAGGGTGCTGCCCATTATAGATAGATCTTGAATGAAAAAATTACAGAAAGATGTTTGAACACAAATTACTGAACGAGAAGTGCCTTCTTAGTGCATTTCCCAACTCTGTTGGAAGGCGCTATTTTGACCACTTTCTCTGTCCGTCGGTCTGACGCCTTAACTACTGCAACAGTTTTCAAGATATTTAGTTCGTTCTTTTTGCATTTGATAGCTTGTAGCTGTGACACCTCAACCCAGAAAAATCTTGTCGATTAATGTGCACATGCGCAGGCTGGGGCAGTAAATGCTATTGCTCCCAAATTTTATTTAAATGTACTACATCAATGCCTAAGAGGCTATTATGTCATCGCGTTGTGTAATTAATTGGAAACTTCTCGGGAATGTTCCGTCATTATAATGTTGGCCTTGGTAATCCTAAATATGATGAAAATGCATTTAGCTCTTTTTTGTGCATTTTTCGTTTTTTCGCCTTTGACAAATGCATTTTGCGAATGTAACGGGTAAATAGGCAAAAAAAATTTGAATGGCCGACGAGATTAAAACAAACATTATTTTCAAATAAACCAAGGTCTCATAATGCTTTGTTTAGTTTCAAAATTTCAGGTTTTCGACGATATTTGGTATCTGAAAATCTTTTAAAGTGAAATGACGAATTCAAACTTAAAATTGTATTTTCAAGAAAGGATTTTGGGTCGACTTCTTTGGTGTTGAAAAACACACAGATACGAAATTTGTTATCCCAACCATCTATAACCACTATCCCATACATAGGGATATGAAGTGGCATTTAATTTTTTTTTAAAATATCAATTATTTAAATCTTCTGGGATTATTCTGGGTACTATAATGGTCAGTGGCAGCATAGGTAAGAATAGTCTTACACTATTGTGGCAGTTATAATGATAAAGCAAACTTTCTGTAAATACGAATATCATACACTCTATAAGGCGTTTAAAAATGATAGGAGTTTCAACCGTCCTCGCTTTCTCCTATATGTACCTAATATGATCCTAGATGAACATACTTCTTTAATATAAAATACATTTTTTTGTTTTTTTCTATTTATTGCTGGTATTTCAAGATCTATCTTCCTTACCCGTGTTAAATTTGATGAGAAAAAAAGTACTTTTAGGGATCGTGAAAAGTGCGTACAAGACAATTCCGCAATTTCCCGCTGGATGATGAAAGTAAATCCTGCGATTTTAAGAGCTTTTACGTGAATAATACCATCCTTACAAAGTTCATTTGGTTTCGGAGTTAAATATGGATGATCCTGATCGAAAGGAAGACCTCTGCGAATTGATCTGGTGGACAGAATGAATGCAGATTTGCAGTTCATAAACAAAATTACTGTTTCCATGCGGCGATTTTTCATTGAAATGGAATAATTAACAAACAGAACTGTCGATACTGGAGCAGAGAAAATTCTCATTAGATGTGTGAAGCTCACACGTAGTACCTACTCCAAAAAGTGAACGTTTGAGCATACAAGTTATTGACTCTTGCTTTTTTAGAGCACAGTTAATGGTGCAGTGTATATAAATTGCAATTGCAACTGTTTAGTGCCACAAATGGAATAGATATATCAATTTAGTACCACCAAAACCTAGGTTTTCCAAAGGAAGGCGTAGAACGATTAAATGGTTTGCTAGATCCTCAGATTTGACTCCTCTTGATTAGTTTTTGTGGGGTTTTTTGAAATCAAAAGTAATACACCAGACAATATTGCAGATTTACAAGTTAGGATAATGGAAGAGATTAACAACATAACCCTTGAGATCGTGCTAAATGTTATTCCAAAATCGCTTTGGTTATTGTCGAGAAGTAATGGCGGTCAGTTTGAGCAAAGTAATGGTCAAATAAAAAACGCATAAAGTATACACACATTGCATTAAATGTGAAAACAATAACATTTTTGTATAGAGAATGAAGAGAACTTTCAAACGATAGTCACTCGAAGAGGGTTTAGTTAACAATAACCGAAATAATGAATTTATTCCACCTGGCTTTTTCACACCTGGACGATCAGTATATTGCACATTATATGTTGGTGGCGCATCTTACACAGGCCGATATTATTATAATTATAAAATAGATCGGCCCCCCTTGCTTAAAAGAACAACAAATTTACCTGGTGTACACTATAGGCTGGTATGGCTGCATATGCAAATTTTTGATTATTTTATTACTCATTATCACTTAGCACTTGTTGCCATTATATAATATCAAATCGTTGCTATTACTTCATTTCATAAGGAAACATTACACTAATACTTTTATAGGTTAACGATTACGTTTTGAATTTTAGATTTGATAATATGCAAAGCAGCAATTTCCCATTGATGCAGACGATTAAGTAACAACACACCTGTAGTATTAGTACACATGGTTTACATTTCTTTGATTGCCTGTATTTTAATTGATGAATGTCGGGAAATTTTCACATACCGAAAATACTTTACTGATTTCATTTTTGTGTCGCAATAATCCTGTATTAGTATTTTAATGGGCCAAAAACTAGGTTTTACGAAACGGAAATACTTTCCATTAATGGTCTTGTGTTAACCTTTCTGTTTAATGTGAGCATTATATAACAATGCGAGAAAATCGTAGATTATGGAAACGTGCGGATCAAAGAAATAATTAGTCTGATCTGACGTAAATTTGTATTAATCCGGCGCCAGATCCTTAATTAAAAAGAAACAATAACAAGAGATGTGGGTGAATTCCTGCAACCTTTGAAACCTACGATTGGAATACAAAATTACCTCGCCTTTCAATATTTGAACGATCACAGTTAGTTCAGATAGTTCTTGACTTTTTTATTTCATACACACATTAGGTAGGTATACCCACATACATTCCACATGGGATGGTTTAATAATAATCATATTGACCTGGAATGGAAATGACCGCTATTTTTGACGTCATGAATTACCGAATACTTTTTCTTCTTAATTCATGCTTATACAGAATGGCCAATTTAGACGGTTTCTCTTTTCCTTTCTTCTTGTTTGAATCATACAACGGATCATTTGAAAGTTTAGCACACGAAAACCGTTTACCTTTTATGGAGAAACATAGAAAATTGCCTCACTTCATTTAGGAATCTTAGGAATTTCCTGTCGTTTTAATTAAAAACTATTATTAATTAAACTTATTTTAAATCGTCCCACCTCTTAAAATGATAATTGATTGCAGGATCGAGATGAGCAACGACGACTGGAAATGAAACATCGAAAAGAAGAAGATGATTTGTATAGGAAATTTGCACGACAAAGGGAAGAAGAGGAGAAAAGGATTAGGGAAGAATTTAGAGTATGTATAAATCAAACTTGTACGAAACGGCGGTGGAGAGCTTTAATTATTCTTATACGTGATGTCATTGAATTAACATTTACGAGGTAATACCTAACAAACAATCAGACTTGTTGCACGAGTGGCCTTGGCCTTAATCTTGCTAAATATTTTTTGGAGTAGAAATAAAAGCCCGCGTCTAATTAGATCAAAGAACCGTTTTATTACTGTATGCGCATAACAATAATAGGCATAATTACATTTGAAGCATGTAGTGCGAACGTTTTCTCTTGTGAAACTCATTGTCCATTTCAACATGTAGCTTTACCTAATAAAGGATCATTTTATTAGGATGAATGGGAGAAAGAATTGGAGAGACTTACTAATAGATTCGAAAGGGAATTACAGATGAAAAGGAAAAGGGACGAACAAAATGTGTTAACACTTCGTCATCAACAGGAGAAAGAAGATTTAGAAAAAAATATGACCCTTCGCAGGGACAAGAAAAAAGAGTCATTATCGAAGAAAATGCTTGAGCATGAAAGGTAAGTAAGTACGTAATTAGCTGGCGCACTTTTTTATGGCAATTAAACAGGTAAATAGGAACTGGAAAAAGATCTAACATTGAAGTCACTATTAAAGTATTACGTAATGAAGTCGATCTAACTATATCACGAACTTGTGATGTAGAAATGCGTGGGAGGAATTTTATTAATATTCCTTTATAAGTTCTTTACTTTAAATTGGTTCCATTTACATCCAACTTCATTCGTATGCTAGACGTCAACCCCTAAACTTAAGAGTTCCGGTGAAGATATCTTCAAACACATTTTGGTTGTAGGTTACAACATGAATATAAATCAGGTCTAAATTGTTGGTAAACATGTTAGGTGGATACCTACAGTCGTCAGCGATTTCATTATTTTACTACTTTTGGTCAATTAGCTTCAGAATGACAAACTCGGAAAATTGTGATTAATGCACGAACAACGTGCAATCTATACCTTTGAAGTAAGGACATTATAGCATGAGATTTAGTTATTGAAATGAAACTCAGAACGTGGCCAGGGAAATACTTTCAAACCATGTGTAAAAAGTTTAGGGATGTTTAGGTATAGTTTTGGCATTATCAATAGACCAAAAAGGCTTCAGTAGGTACGTGGAAACTATGGTTAAGTTTTTGAATGGGTAAATTAAATAGTTATTGCTCAAGGCCGATGCTGTGCCAACTTCGCCGTTATTGTTGCCTAATTCATTGTACTATTATTATGCATGAAGCCATTGCTCTCTACAAACGATTTATTGTAGAAAACAATTTCATTTATTAGCGGAGGGATTTGGAATTTTCTATTTCTTGATTCCTTAACAGAAACTCTGTAGGAACAGGCGAATTTGAGTACAACACTGGTGTTTAATTCCCATAGGCAACAGCTCTGGTTAATACAATCGTTCAGAAAGTATACTACCCCTAAATCGTTTTCTTTTGCTCGGTGATTTCCCACAACTAATTAACATGTTTATCGTGTTAGTTATTTTCATATAATGTAAGATTTTATGCTGATGAAACCTTATTATAATATTTTATATCTTTCTTATGTATTTATGCACCTACTAACTTTTTGGACAATCGTCACCGTTCACTCTTGATCTTAAACGATGCGATAGTCAATTTTTACAAATTACAAGAAAATAAATAAAAACCACCATTTCAAAAATATAGCTTGCAAACCTGACTTGTCATTAATTAAGATTTCTTTCGACAAATTACATCAAAAGTACCCACGTTATTGTTGTATAGACAATTTGAAGAATAGGAGCGCAGAGCAAATATAAAGAATTGCAAATCACTGGTATAAATAACACGATATAAAGAATCGCATATGATTTTCAGGAGGGAATTTTTCAATGTAATTTAATCCGTAGATTGCAATTGACATTAACAATACATAGTGACAAAAGGATAATAACAACTGGGTTATTCAAAACATACGGCTTCATTACATCAAATAGTTCTAGAGATATTCGAATTCAAATTCGCACACATGCATATAGGAAAAAACTTTAATCTTCACTTTGCGAGTAGAGACCTATTACTTTCACTTTGTGAGTACCGACTTCCAACACTCGGTTCTCAAGATATTCGCATATGAAGGTTTGACCCTATTTCATAAAGATTTCTCCACAAATAGGATAATCACCGCGCAGTAGATCGTTTGTGCACCGTTTAAACGTAATTAAATCAGTTCGCATTCAGAAACACGTATCTTTCGTCCTTTTCAAAATATCTGATACGGGTCAGCATAGGAAAACGAATACGTTCCCATAAATTAATTCTTATGCAATTGTCTATTCTGTGAGTCAATTATAAAAAGTTTTATGTTTTTCCTATCCTGCGGCATTTGCTGTAGGAGCTGGCGGAGCAACCCCTCTAGGTCAAAAATTGTAAGCTCCTACATAAACCAGTTGCAATTGACATGGAAGTGATTCTGGAGGTCTGATCGCAGAGGATCAAATGAAACCAAAATGTAATAAATTCTCAAACGAACTGTTCATTTTTTTGTGAAAAACTGTTGCATTTTTGACTGACTCACTATAGCCTGCCGTTAATAATGACTGACCTTAACCGCTACAGCTGAAGGGTAGGAAAATTAAAACAACTTTTTCTGCAAATAATGATCGTAGGAGTTTACACACCTGTGTGAATTTGGCCCCCCGATTTTGGGAAGCACGATGAGACCTTTCATTAGAATACCATGAATGACAGAACGTAAAACGTGTGCCCCCCCCTCCCGTTTTCAAAGTCTTACATGGCACCACTATAATGGCATGTGAATGGAAAATCTGAGACCAATAGGTTATTGCATTTAAAAGTTATGAACGTTTTACTTTCCAAAAGAGCATCTCAGGAAATAATTCATGGGAGAACCCCCTTTTAAGACATCGAAATTTAATGTTCAATTTGAGATGAGATTTGTTTAAAAAATAAATAAAACGTTAATCAAACACAATTTTCCGAGCTCTGTCTACCTCTACCTAGCTACCATCAAACAAAAAATGAGAACAATTACCGCAAACAAGCATCGAGCGACAAAGGGTGCACGAAACTGGTAAATTACATTTAAGTAGGTACACGCTGTTTACACGTAATTGTAACTGGAAACAGCAGACTTAATGCATCTTAATTTTACGCTGCGTTACCTAAATAGGGTATGTTACTTAAAAGTATTATGCGGAAAGAAGTTGATGGGTATGAAACATCGTAGGTTGGCTCTCACCTTGACCCTAATAATTAACGGATGATCACGGCAACCACAGATATAGATCAAACTTGATAGCGATTGTGTACATTTACTTTGGCCATGTTCAGACATGGATCGAGTTCTAACCAAAGATTTTACATTCTGCATGATAGAAGAGTTGGTATTTACGTACCAGACAGACGTAAAAGTAAACAATTTAAAATTGTTCAAAATTGCAGGGCGGCGACGGCGGCGCTGGTTGAAAAACAAAGTCACGAGATGTTGGAACTAATCAACGAGAAACGAAGCGAATATATGATGGCCGAATCATTGTATGTTGATGCTGGAGAAGACGGTGGGTATGTCGAAGATTTGCCGCCATATCCAAGCCTTGCACCTATACCGGCACCCCCAGCTCTTAGTAAATTTCAAATTTATAGTGATCCAGCCGAGTTTGCACATGTCGATCAAATTGCTATATCCGTAAGTCTGTTTTCTCATGATTCTGTTACTAATTATTTCTTACACTTATTGCATATCAGAGTGTGAGTGAGGTAACATGCTTGAAAAGATTACTTGCTCAAATATTAATTAGCGTTTTTATATTAATAGGTTGCCCAAGAAGATCAAAAAAGCTTTACGGATTTAGTTCGCCAACTGGTGGGACGATGCGGCTCTGATATTGAGAAGGCTCGGTAAATATCAATTAGCCAAAGTTGATCGTTAAATCACAAACTATTTTTAGCACAATATTTAGATGGATAACGGTAAAGAATTTAAACACAATGACTTTCGATGAAAATTTACGGGGAGACACACCAATGGGTTTACTAAGGGGCATTAAGCACGGAACAGAAAGTTATCATGTGTTATTCAAAAGACTCTGCAGGTTTGTCTCCAAACCATTTGAAACCTCTAGATTAACATTGGTTTTCAGTTATGCAGGTTTGCATTGTGTAGTAATTAAGGGCTATTCTAAGTCAGCAGGTTACCAGCCGGGAGTGAAATTTGAGGATAATCGGTTTAGAAACTCCTGGAATGCAGTTTACGTTGCGGGTGCGTGGAGGTTCGTTCAATGCAACTGGGGTGCGAGACACCTGGTGAACGCCAAAGAGGTACCAAAAGCGGGAAACAAAGCAAAATCGGACAGTTTACGGTTAGTACCCGAATCACGAGAAATTTAACTAGGGAAGGTTGTGTTTAGGTACGAATATGACGACCATTACTTTTTAACCGATCCAAAGGAGTTTATTTACGAATTTTTCCCGCTCCAATCGGATTGGCAGTTATTAAAACATCCAATAACGCTGCAGGAATTCGAAGAACTACCGTTTGTAAGATCCCTGTTCTTCCGCTACGGATTATACTTTTCAGATCCTAATACAAAAGCAGTTATGTTCACTGATTCTACAGGTTAATCACTATGGAATTAGTCTAATTGGGATCGTAAAGATAAATTATTTGTAGGTGCTGCCACAGTGAAGATTGCAATGCCCGCCCATATGCAGGGTAGTTTGATTTTCCATTATAATCTTAAATTTTATGACAGCGATGGAGATAGTTTCGATGGCGTCTCATTAAAGAGATTTGTTATGCAGGTACGTTTCAAAATTAAGAACAACTGCCTGAAATATAGTGGTACTACATATTATGTCTAGCATGCGCAGCGCATATTTTCAGAACGCATAAGCGCAAATACCTGTTTACATGCATTTACTGTTTACAGGGTACGTAAAAAGTTCCGGAACGGTCAATTATCTCAGTTATCGGTTTCTCCAATTTGGTATATGTGCATACTGTAAAGAACAAATGATTTATTGTCTATAATGTCACTTTTCCCTTTATAGTGGCACATCCTGTATATATTTTTCATTTTTTCTGCTGAAAGACGCAGACAAAATTAAAATATCACTCGCTAAGATCAAAGCATAAACAACTCCAAAAATTACACCTGTATCTTTAGACGCTTTTATGAGAAGATTAGGTCATTGCCAAATTGTAAACGGTGAACATTTTGAGTGTTTGCTACAAAGGTTACTTTTTTAAAGCCTATTTTATCGTAGTTTTTTTTAATTCCGTGCCATTTCCGTACAACCGGAAGTAACATAAAAAGTGGCATTAAGTATAGTCAATAAATTATTTTTACAGTATAACGGTGACATAGGTTTGATGGATCGTTAAAAAAATTGATTATTCCTTCTGTTTCCGAAATCTCCCAATGTACCGATTAAGTAGTGTTTATGAATTATCGACTAAATGGCTTGTATTAGGCTCGCCAGAAGAGAATGCCGGTCACAGATCACTTGATGCCGGTCTAGAATCGTATGGTTGAATCTTTAATATGACAACGCAAAAGGGTAACGCGTAGGCGTTGTAGCGATGTACTTGATCAAACGAATGACTGTAAATGCCAATATAACATCCAATATTTCCTATATAAAATTTTGTTTGCATTTTAAGAATGTTAAATCTATAATAACATACCCATAGCAGCTCGCGCCATATGGCTCCGTGCCCTAACAGCGCGTGTCTCTTTGCTCCGCGCTCATTCGTTCCTACGCCTAAATGGTTTTCTTCTTTTGTATACATTTTATTAAGAAAATAATTAATAATCTTAATTTAATAAATAACTCGTTTATTGAAAATCATTTGAAAAAGATGGAAATAGGTAAAATGATGTCTACCAGTTTCCATACATTTCAACTACCTCTGATCAAAGAGTATACAAGTTATATACTCTTTGTTTGATACAATTGTTTAACTTTTATATAGCTATTTCTTGATCAAGATATTTACCTATACCAAATTGATTTTCCCACTTACTGTATGTCTGTACCAAAAGTAGGTACGACACTATTTAGGTGGGTTTATCACGCTTAATATAGACTCCTGAACTAAGTCATAAGCCCATGAGATTTTTACAAGTTGATGAAAGACACGTAAACGTCACACAACGTCTCTATACATATATTATTTAATGTTGCTCAAATGTGGACCAGCTAATATGATTAGTACCAGTGCTACTTCACTTGTTCACATACTTTTCAAGTTATTAGCTGTTCTTTAACTGTGAAATTTAATGTTTCAGTCTGTTGCGGGAAATTTGGTCGCATTTCGAGTACACGCACCTTGCAGCGGAGCATTCCTTCTCGACATCTTTGCCAACGCAGTTACACCAAAAGAATATCTAACAGGAGAGCCGATGAAATTCAAAAGTGTGTGCAAATTTAAAATATGCTGCGAAGATTTACAAACTGTAATGGTTCCCCTACCGGATTGCGCCAGTGGTGAATGGGGTCCAACGAAAGCTACAAGATTGTTTGGTTTAGTACCAATTACACATCAGGTAATTCACCACGACTCAAATGGTAAAAGTAAACTGAACATTTTCAGGATGCGTTAATATTTGCCGGACGCGAACTAGAAACTCAATTCAGAATGTCAAGACAGTTGACCGATTTTATGGCAACGTTGCACAAAAATGGAGTGGAGGAGAAGAGGCTTTCGAAATACGTATCACATTCCATAATCGACGACATAGTTACATTTAATATTAGTTTCCCGGAGGAAGGACAGTACGGTTTGGATATTTACACGAGAGAGATGGCTTCCTTAAATGATAGTACAGGCGAAAAACACTTACTGACACACTGTTGCAAATATCTAATTAATTCCTCTAAACGAAATTAGATTGGTCTTACCAAAGTATAAAAATGGTGCTTTACAGAGCTTGTTAAATAATTGAGATATTTTTTATTCCTTATAACAGAAAAATTGCCTCATATAAAGTGTAACGTACTGTGATTGCTTTTTATTACAAATTAAACTATTTACAAATTCTAATATAGGCAATTTAATTTTTCTTAAAATGTGGAACTAAATTTTATTTTTTCTGTGCAATACCGTAATTGCTCAGTATGTCTACGATAATATCAGTATTCAAATAACATACTGTGTAGTTACGCCTAAATATGGTACCCCACTTGTTATTTCTTAACAGTTAAGTTTATGTAAATTAATACCTTATTGTCTTTATCAAAACGGCTTAAGATGCTTTGTTTTGTAACATACAACTTTTTATCTTGTCAATAAATACACTATTTATTAAATAGATTTATTTATATAAAAGCATATACTAATCTTGCACATAATAAGTCATTTTCGTGTATAATCTAAAAATAAGGCACTCTTTCATTCGTAGTATTTGCTACTAGTCTTGTCTAATAATGAGTGAGATCTGCTTAATTCCACTCCATCGATCAGAGATGTCAACATACCTTCAACTTCTGTTACAGCATTTTTCAATTGCCCATTGTCACTACCCCCTAAAGCTTCTAAAATTTTGAAAGAGATTACAGCATAGCAAGAAGAAAAAAATACCCACCATCTAACATGAAGTTGTTAGCTAAAATTTGCTGCAATTTTGCCAAAACTTCGTCTAAATCGTTGTGCATTTCTCGAATGGGAGACTTCTGACTGCCGTCACTGTCAATGCTGTCACTACTCTCTCCGAAGATATTAGATGCTGATTGGCGACCTATAACAGGTGAAAAAGGCTATTATAACGGTACTGAAAAGGGAATTAAATTCGCACAACTAAAAAAAGGGGATGAAAGCCCAGACCAAACAGTCTTTAACAATATTCTTTTTTATTGCCTTTTTCAAATAGAAATTTTATCTGATCTACCTCCTATCCAGGTGCTAATGTCGTTAACATTATACGAAGGCATAGAATTCGTAGTTGTTATAAACTCTTTCGTTTTAGAGTGATCTCCTATGATTGTGTTTTGACCCCAATTGTTGTCACTACATTCGTGCTCTTGCGCTATGGGACTCAACATATCCAAACCAATTCCTCTTTGTTCAGTTCTCAAGTTGGAAATTAAAGGTGTCGACTCCATTCTTCGTAAGGTGGGTCGGCTATCAATGGTTGTAGGTTGAGCAGTTCTCAGGTAGTCCTGCAGAGAGAGTGAAACGTCAAATCCGTAAAATAAAGAAAACATTACTTTAAGTGTTTTCAATTTCTGAATTTGGGTTTCAACGCGTATCCGATGATCGTCTAAATATTTTTTGATTTGTTGATTATCACTGCCATAAACCACCATTTGGTGCAATTCCCTGCATAAAACTTAGTCATAACAGATTAAATCAGTTGCGCACTTACTTATTTTGCAGCTCCAGCTGCCGAATAACCAGCTGAAGTTGGTTTTCCGGTGAATGCACAGAGTCACTATCGCTGGAACTATCAGTCTCATTATCTATTGAAATAAACTTCTCCTTGTTGTGACTAAAAAATTACACTGATTATTGCAATACTATCTAATAAACTGTTCACCTTAAAACTCGCGCTTCAACCAAGTTAGAAACGAAAGACGGAGCGTTTAGTTTAATCGAGCAACGTAGTAGTCGACTAATTTTTTTAATCAACAAATGCGTAAAGTCTCGTGAACTGCCCTAAAACACATAAAGAAATGTAGCTGTTGTGCAAAGTACTTAAACCAACCTCTGTGCAATATTCCTTTACCGGATGTGATAGTTTGTGAGAGTTGCTGGTTTTTGCAGACAAGAAGCACTGTTGACACTGTGTGTAATTGGAGCATTTTATGCATCGATAACGTAAGCCTAACAATGGGGATGCTTTACACACAGAGCATTTAGTAACATGCACAACTGTAAAATAAATGGGTAACATTATAATAACGTGCTGGGGTGTCTAGAACATTTAAATGAAATTGTATTCCGTTCTTAAAATTTTACACTGTTTGGGAGATATATGCGCTAATTAAGTGTAACCACAGCGTAAAATAGTAAGAGGTCCATGAAATGCTGCTTAAATAGTGAAGCACTATCGTGGTCAACAAAATGCATAAAGAGATGGAAATAAGTCCATGGCTGATTATAATTGAAACCAAATTCATTCGTTTATTTTCTCACATAGTCACCATCGACATGGCCATGGAATTATTGCCATAAGAAATACATTGTAAACTTCGAGGCAAAAAGGCAGGGGTGATTCCCAAATGAAATACTAAGTGTTCAGTATCACTAGTTTTGTAATTTTTTTCTCTATCGAGTGACGTAAAAATCCAATATGGCGTCCATTTGAAATAAGAAAGTCAATATCTCGAAAACCGAAATTTTTAAAAATTTCTTCCTACATCATCGAATTTATCCCATCGAATTTTGCAACTTTTATTTGAACTTTTGATTGTTTTGTTCCCCTCTAACGCCCAATTTTTTTTATTTTTCCAGCCTGCTTATATAATAGATGTTACGAAATATAAATAAGCAGTAAGAACTAGGTTGAGATTTAAATAAATTAAATAAGATTTTGTTCAAAAACTGTTGTTAAGTTTTTTGTCGTTTAAATAAATTAATTTAAAGCTTAAATTACACACATCGATTTTGCTTCATCAGTTTTAAGGACTTGTCAATTTGATCTTAAAATTGATAATTTAATTCTGGTGACCCTCCCCTTAAGAATGCAGTAAAACCTTCAACTTTAAGAAAAAGTCAATTTAAGATTGAAATTTCAAAATATGCTAGGTACCTTAATATAGACACCTGTGCTCGAATTATAAACTGAGGCTAAGGGTTAAAATTAGTTGACTGTTTATACATTAACAATAAATGTGATAATTGTTATTAATAAAATACCAAAAATTGACACATTACCATGTTCAGCAGCTTGCATTCTGTGCAACGTCGGTATCCATGCAAGTAACTGTGGATTACTCTCTAACCAACTAATAAAAGTACTTTGGTTAATACCCACAAGACCTGGTGACTTAAGATAACAATTCATTACACAATTAGGCACATCTATAGTAAGTTCTTACATTACTGAAGCAACTATCAATCGCAACAGTCAATAAATGATGTCCAAAATTGACATCTTCATGTAAATACGCTGCAAGTGTGGCAAACTTTGTTAAAATCCACTGCAACTTCAGTCTTGTAACACAATTATTATGATCGGCACATAATTCAAATATAAAATTATACAGATCCGATATATTGCACTTGCTTAGGACGGATAAAACAATTTTCGTCGACAATACCTGGATATTATCGCGTCGATCTCTAAAAAGACAGTTAATGTTTCTCCCAACACTTAGCTGGAGTACCTGTCATAAATGTTATATAATAAATTCATCATTAATTCCGTAGCATGATCAATGTCTGTGTTAATATTAGCCTGCTTATTTGCAGCAAAGAAAATATCAGAAAGCACAGCTTCCAAGTCGTAACTTTCCAAGTGCAAAGTTCCTTCAGTTACACCCAATTTGTGCCGCTCAAACACGCCCGCTATTGTAGAAAGACATACTTCCTCCACTAGAAATAAAAATGTAAACGACACTCTCGTAAAGTAAGCCTTACTGAATAATAATCGACGAAGGGCTCGGAACTTTGCAGCAACCCTATACGCAGAGTACTTAATGTAATTACAGTCATGCAAGTGCTGAATTATTTCAGCAAACTTCGGATGATCCCATTGTTTAACATTAGTTAATTCGCTAAAAAAAATTGTTAGCTGAAAGACTCTGGTGGAAAAATTACTTAATATAGTAAGGAAATCCATTTTCGTTTTCTAACTTTTTCCACGATTTTGCCGAAAACATTGCAAATTAAATCAATCTCTTCTCATTCAAGACAGGTATATAGTGCAACAGGTGGTTATGAAATTTGTTTTTCAGTTGAGTTGAGGACTGATGGAAGGCAATCACAAAAAAGGATGTACTTTCACTAATAAAAAGTGTTATTATTGATCAGACTTGAACTGGTTGGAGGAGAAGCTAATTTAAGAACTGTAGCACTTGCTTCCAATGCACTTGCCCAGTTAACGACTTTTTCAGATTTGAGTTGCTAGACAGGTGGTTGCCATGGGAACTTTTGTTTGACGTTGACAGTTAGGTGCCAGAGTAAAAACAACAGAAGAGACTATCTGCATACTTTGATTCTAGTTTTTTTTAAGTTACTTGTTTTGATGGTGTTAGAAAGCATAGGGGCTGATAACACCTGTTGGTCTAAATTTTCACCAACAATTCAAAACCAGATCAAGGTCATAGCATTGTTTAAAATGAATACACAAAGGTCATATGGATATTTGAAAATCACTGCGGTGTCGCTTCTGACGTTCTACTGTGGTTATATTTGGGTTAAACAAATCAAACCTTTGAATAAACAAAGATCAAAGTCAGTACAACGTCTATAGGCAACTCACAATACATTCCATCAGTGGTAACACGACCGAATGGTATCGTTGTCGATGTCGAACTTTTTCTAGTCTGAATATACAAGAAATATACGTAAATATCCCTTATTGATTTTGAGCTCATTCATCCTTGAAAAACCCTTCCTTTTCGAGAACTTAAAAAAATCTATGAAAAAGTTATTGAGAATCAACTTGTTTGTGGAGCGATTTTTTGAAATTTCACCGGTGGCAAAAGTTGGGCATATGTGCAGGAACGAACATTCCCATTGGTGGTGTGATATTTTTGACCTTTTAATGCGACATTTTTCCAATAAAGTAAAAGGTGCTCACAAAGGGAAAATGAATTGAAACGTTTCAAAAAACTCAATAATAGATAGGTACGTACGTGCTGCCCATAATACTTATCTAAAAGTTACTAAAAACTCAATATGTTATGATCCTAAATTCTCTTGAAATTTCATCAATACGAAGAAAAACTGCTCCAGCAAAACGCATAACGGAGATATTTCGTTTACTACTCCTGCTGAAATAGTTTCCATGAATATTAGTCTCTCGGAGTTATCAGATCACTATCTGCCATTAAAAGCTCAAGACACACGGCGCAGCAAAGTATGACCAGCGGAGTACCTATAGTCTTTTAGTTAAACAGTTTAAGTAAAGTGAAAGTATTGAAGGATACCTACTTCAAAGTTGCATGTAATACCTAATCCCACAAAAATCAAAAATTACAGGAGGCTAAGTACAATTCCTTCAAGAAATGGTGCCAAGAAAAAAAACCGTTTCAAATTGTTATGAGATCAGTACCTAGTTGTTCTTGCATATTTCGTCCATCGAAATGCAAAATTGAAATCTCCTAACAGTTATGGACCACATATTTGATGTTGCGGTCGACGCTTAATTTAAATAACTGCACTTTTTGAATTACACTAAATTACTAGCGTTTTTGAAAAGTAAAAAATGTTGGTCATCGAGCAAGAAAATCTAATCTGTTTCGCAGAGAAGGCATGAACCGATTCTTAACTGAAGCTCCAGATAATAAGTTTTAATGCTCAAGGTATGATGATGTGAGTAACGGAAGCTTGTTAATAGGGCTTAATACTTTTACTTTTTTTGTAGATTTCAAATTAAATGTTATAAGAAAGTATACAGGAAGTTTAAATTAGGGTGTAATTTACAAACGGTTCCATCTGTGTCAATATGAGTAGATATAAAAATAAAGGCAAAATAATAATAATAATAATAATACGAGTGGGTTGTTTCTGAGAAGAAGGAGTATTGTGTTTTTTAACTGTGCTAGGGCGTGTAACTTTATTGGATGGACCTGTCTTTGTAGTGCATGTTGCGTTACTTGTGTTTATGGTGTTTCTTTGTTCTTGAGGTTGTATTTGTGAGGTTGCTTGGGTTATTGATGGAGATATTACAGTATTTTGTGAGCTAGTAGTGCTGTATAGGTTTTTGCGTTTGGGTTGAATACAAGTGGGTTGTGATAACGTGGTGTGCTTCGGTGAAGAAGGAGTTATGTGTTTTTTAATTGTGCTAGGGCGTGTAACTTTATTGGGTGGACCTGTCTTTGTAGTGCATGTTGCGTTAGTTGTATTTATGGTGTTTCTTTGTTCTTGAGGTTGTATTTGAGAGGTTGCTTGGGTTTTTGCTGGAGATATTTTAGTATGTTGTGAGCCTGTAGTTCTGTTAAGGTTTTTGCGTTTCGGTTGAATACGAGTGGGTTGTGAAAATGTGGTGTGTTTCTGTGAAGAAGGAGTTTTGTGTTTTTTAAATGTGCTAGGGCGTGTAACTTTATTGGATGGACCTGTCTTTGTAGTGCATGTTGCGTTACTTGTATTTATGGCGTTTCTTTGTTCTTGAAGTTGTATTTCTGTTGTTGCATGGGTTATTGGTGGAGACATTACAGTATTTTGTGAGCCTGTAGTGCTGTTAAGGTTGTTGCGTTTGGGTTGAGTACGAGTGGGTTGTGTTTGTGATAACGTGGTGTGTTTCTGAGAAGAAAGAGTATTGTGTTTTTTAGCTGTGCTAGGCCGTGTGGGTGAGGGCGTGTTTGTAGTGCGTGTTGCGTTACTTGTATTTATTGCGTTTGTTTGTTCAGGAAGTTGTGTTTGTGTGGTTGGTTGAGTTAAGTTTGGAAATATTACAGTATGTTGTGTGTCATGTTGTGAGTCTAAAGTGCTGTTTAGGCTTTTACGTTTGGGTTGAATACTAATGGGTGGTGATAATGTGGTTTGCTTCAGAGGTGAATCTCTGATTGTAGTATATGTTGTATCATTTGTTGTACTTGTTTGTTCAGTAAGTTGTATTTGTGTGTTTGTTTGGGTTAGAGGTGGAGATATTACAGTATGTTGTGTAGGTACCGTGTTGTGAGCGAGTACTGTTGTTTACATGTATACGTTGTGGATCATTTCTGTATGTAGTATCTTGTGTTATGTTTAGAAATTTACGAACAATATGGCATGTGTTGATAATGACTGCTTTTTGTAAATGTTTGTATGTGTTTTTGTCTAAACCTAATAGTTTAAATTGTGGTGTATTGTCTTTGGTATAACTCCAGTAGCACTAAGAATAATGGGAACTATAACAGTAGATTTCATTCTCCATTGCGTCTTAAGCTCGATAGCTATATCGGTGTATTTGCGGTGTTTTTCTGCATGTGTTTTAGTTAAGTTGTTAGTGTTTGGGATGGCAATGTCTATAATACAAATGGATTTTTGTGTTTTATCTATAAGTGTAATGTCTGGTCTATTATTGTGGATAGTTTTGTCTGTGAGTAGTGTCCTGTCCCAATATAATTTGTGTGTGTTGTTTTCGAGTATGATCTGTGGCGTGTATTTGTAGTATGGTGTCGTATCTGTTATGAGAATGTGTTTAAGTGCTAATTTTTGATGTATGATTTTAGCTACCTGATCGTGTCGATGTTTGTATTCAGTTTGTGCAAGTCGTGTGCATGCCGATATTATATGTTCGATTGTTTCTGATGTTTGTGAACAAAGTCGACAAGAATCATTTGTCACTGTTTTATCTTTATGTATGTGTTTTTTATAGTTGCGTGTGTTAATGACCTGGTCTTGTATTGCTAACATGAAACCCTCAGTCTCCGGGAAGACATCACATTCAGACAACCAACTGTGCGTTGCTATAGAGTCAACACAATCCTGGCCAACCTCTTGTGGAAATCGTCCATGTAAAGGCTTTTGGTTCCATGTCTGTATGTTATTTGTGATGTATGTAAGTTTGGATGTGGGTGGGAGTACATTAGTTTCGTGTAGGTTAAGTGGTGTGTAAGATTTGTCTGCATATGTTACTGTTTTGTGTAAGACTGAAGTATCTGATTTGTTATAAAAGTATTGTCGTAAATTGTGTATTTGTGTTTGGTGTAATAGTTTTATATCTGTAAGTCCTCTACCTCCTTCCGAACGAGGAAGGTAAAGTCGTATAGTGGAGGAGTGAGGGTGATGTATATGGTGTTTTGTTAATAGTGTACGTGTGTTTCTCTGTATTTGTTCTAAATCTGTATTTGTCCAACGTATAATCCCGAAAGAGTATGTAAGCACTGGTATGGCATAAGTGTTAATAGCTTTGATTGTATTTCTACCGTGTAATTTTGTTTTAAGTATACTGCGTACTCTTTGTAGGTATTGTGTGATAAGTGTTTGTTTTATACTCGTATGTTTAATATGTGTATTTTGCTGAAAACCAAGATACTTATAAGTTTCATTCTCGTCCATGGAATTTATTAAATTACCCTGTTCTAGCTCATAATCTAAAAGTTGTCTTTTACCAGCTGTGATGTGTTGTGTTTTACATTTATCAATTCCAAAGTCCATTTGTATGTCACGTGAGAATGTTTCGGTAATGTGTAGAAGGTGATTAAGTTTTATGCTTGTGGAAGAGTATAATTTAAGATCGTCCATGTAAAACAGGTGTGTAATGTTGTGATGTATTTCGTGGTTGTGCTTAATATTGTACCCAAAGTTAGTAGTGTTTAACAAATATGAAAGTGGATTAAGAGCAAGACAAAACCAAAGCGGACTTAAAGAATCGCCTTGAAAAATGCCTCTTTTAATTTGTATTGGGTCAGTAATAAGTTTTGTGTCGTTTAGTGTAAGTGTTAACGTAGTGTTCCAACATGACATTATGTAATTGAGGAATTGTGTAATATTGTTGCTGACTTTGTATATTGAGAGTACTTGTTGTAACCAAGAGTGTGGTACTGAATCGAATGCTTTTTTGTAATCAATGTATGCAGTGTGTATGTTTCGTTTGTTATGTCTGGATTGTTCAAGTATTACAGAATCTATAATGAGTTGCTCTTTACAGCCTCTGGAACACTTGGTACACCCTTTTTGTTCTTCGTATAAAATGTTGTTATCAGTACAGTGTTGGTATATTTTGTTGGTAATGCATGATGTAAGGATTTTGTATATTGTAGGAAGGCATGTAATTGGTCTATATTTAGATGGGTCTTGTGTATTGTTGTCTTTTGGGAGCATGTAAGTGATACCTTGTGTAAAGAATGCAGGAGTGCGATCTGGTGAATTAAGAAGTTCAGTAAATTGTTGCGCAAGGTAAGAGTGAGTGTAGGTAAAATATTTCCACCAAAAGTTGTGAATGTTATCAATGCCTGGACTTTTCCAGTTATGTAAGTGATTAATAGTTTGAATGATGTACACAACCGAAACGCAAA